TTTGTTGCATTTTAGAAACCTAGCAATTACTTTTTTCCCGCTGCTAAAGAGACGTTTGCTGTAAGGAAATTTTTAGTAAATGTTATTAAATCTTAATAGATATGGTCGAAGTTTCATGTTTCAAAAAGTTCTAGTTTATAAACAACAACATTTTCAGTAGATTTCATAGATATCTAACTATTTCATTTCATGAAACCAATTAATTTTCAGATAATTATCATAACTAAACATACGATCAGCATATAAACATAAATTTTCGACACTTAGTTCACCAAAAATAATTATCTTCTTTTTCTTAAACTTTTTTCAAATGACGTTAAATCAATCAAATATCAAGGTTATGTAATAAAAACAAAAGAAAATCGTATTAAAAACAAATGAATAAAAAATGAGAATCTTTTGTTGTTCTTAGCGGGAAAAATGTATATAAAAGTAAATCGTAAAAAAAATGAGAAATGGTTGATTAAATCCAAAAAATAAATAGCCCATAACCATCTACGGAAAATTCTGCGTCGAATGGTAGCAGTCCCATCCCGATAGCTTCAGTAGTTTTGACGTCAACTTTAGTCAAAGATACCCTATTTCGCTTATATATATTACACTCACGCATCCGCCCACGCGTTGGTAGATGGAACTAAATTCTCAAGAAAGAAAAAAAAACGTAATACCCTTCATGCCTAAATGAGATAATTAGTGGAATTTTCCACCCACGCATTCGCCCATGCATCTGCCCACGCAACCACCAACGCATCCGCCCACGCGATGGTAGATGGAACTAAATTCTCAAAAAAAAAAAACGTAATACCCTTCATGCCGATAAAAAAACAAATGAATTAAATAAAAATGCTTGTCTTTTGTTTTTATCGGCGGGAAAAAATGTTTATCAAAGTTAAATAGAAATAAAATGGTGAAGGATTAATGGAATTCGAAAAATAAGTAGCCTATAACCTTCTACAATTCATTCTGCGTCGAATGGTCCTAGTCCTATGTCAATACGTTCAGTAGTTTTTGCGTGATTGACGGTCTACGAAACCCACTTTCAATATATAAAATATATGAAAAATTGATGTGGGTACTTAAATGAAAAGTCTTGATGAATACAACATCATGATGAGCTTATATCTTTAAAAATGTCAATAGTTCACAAGATACAGGGTCATTCCTTAACTATGTATCTAGAGATAGCGAGAACGATACCAAATTTAACCATAAAAATTTTGCTTATTCTCTTAATAATATAGATTATAAATATGAAATACCGGTGCGTGAGGACAATAGATAAGTTATACCGTCAGATTATAATAATAATTATTTTTAATATTGTCATTGTTAAAGTTTGCAATTTATAATTTCGTGAGGAGAGAGGTTTAATAAATGTTTGGCAGACATTAAATCGGGGTGTAAACTATCGAGCTTAAACAAGTATCATTACGCGGATATATAAATGTTAATTATATACCGAGTAAATTGGTTCGTGACCTTAAATTTAAATTCAAATTTATATTTTATGTCTTCCTCTGGCGCACGGAGCACTTCTACGTTCTACAGGCGAGTATTATCATACTTATACACGAGAATAACTTTGTCTGTCGGGGTTTATGTATGTAGAGACTTTAAGAGTTGCATTGAGTAACCACCGCTATTGAATTTAACCGCTGAAAGCGACCAAATTCGCCTTTCAAATGAGCCACCCACCTCCTAGACCCGACCAGCCCGAGCATGACCGAATGTGGTCTCTCGAGTAATCACTGGAGAGAAGAGCAGAGGGTGGTGACGAGCCGATTGGTTAAAGTGAGATAACATTTATTCTCTATTGGTATTGGTATTGGAATAAAATTCCCCCCGGCAGACCGTTTCCAATCCAACTGAGATCAACCCAGAAGAAAATAATATTACTTTGATCCTCCGGGTAATTAAACGGTAATTTTATACAGTCGAGAGATAACGAGTTATCTGTTATGGAGATAAAGATTTTAGAGAATGATAGTGCTGGGTTGCTGGAGGATTTAGAAAATTTCAAGTTAAAAGATGGATCTAGGGTATGCAAAATTATTTTATTGAACTCTAAATTTTTTTATGTAAGTAATTTTTATCTTTTTTTAGAACATTAAAAATTGAAATTTCATTTTTATTTTATTCTTCTTTAGGGTACATTTATGATTTATTCATTTAAAATTTACAAAATTCTATATTTATATTTTTTTAGACAGCTTAGAATAAAAAAAATGCAGTATGAATTTAAAAAAATTTTTAAAGTTTGAATTTTTATAATAAAATTAAAAAAAGTATGAATAATTGAATTCTTCTATTTTTCATAGCCAAAAAACGGTAAAAAAGTGACCTAATTTTTTTCTGAACTATAGCAATAATTTACAGTAATTTATTATTGAAATAGTTTAACAGTATTGCAATTTTTTGCAAAGCAGGGCATTTAGAGAATTTATTATGTACCTGAAGTTCCGAACGTTCATTTATGAACGAAAATCAAAAAAAAATTTTTTTTGCTCCTGAAACTGAAAATGGTTTTTCAGTTTCGAATAGAGACAGTGAGCCCTAAAAATGATATATTAGCCCCTCAAAACACAAAAACCACCCCTCCAGCCACCCCAAAAACTTACACTTGGAAAAAAAAATTTAAGATAAAATCCTTCCAAGGGACATGTAAAAATGAAAATTCTAAATTTTTTCCAAGTTAGTAAGCTAATCATTTGTTTGGCTTAGGATGCTTGTAGCATAATTTATTAAACAAATAAATAACTGATAAGTTATTACAAAAATATTCAAGCCGTTGATCAAACAGCTTGGTAAAGAAATAAATCACGAGCAACCACTTGGATAATTTTCCATCTTTATTTCTCCGTATTTCTTAGAATGAAAATAAGTGCAGCATAACAGAACAGAAAAAAACTGAGGAGAGTTTTAATATTCAGCGGATCCGTGTCGGAAATCTCAGAAGATAAGATATGGCAGCGGTGCATAGTAAAAGGGAACAAAGCGTCGGAAAATGACAAGCACGTGGAGAAAAGTTGGCTTATTATCTTTACCGAATTCTCAACTGCACTTTCAGTTTATGACTACCAGACATGGCCAGAATTTCGACAATTTCAAGAGCTATACATGCTTGTACTGCCTACACAACTTAACGTGGGTGTATAGACGTGGAAATGATGATGTTTGTTAACGGTGCCCGCGGCCACGCGCCTCATCGATTGCCCGTCTGCTTTGCATACACGACCCCCTTTTTTCCACCCCCCGGCTACTAGCCAATCGATCTTACCCGATTTAACCGATTACATTCGCGATCGAACGTTTCCCTCGTGCCAAATTCAATGGAGATTAAATTTTAGTCCGCGGATTTAACGTGTTTCGTTATAGCTGATAAAATTTCACCACTTTTCAAATATAATACAATAAAATTTGATATTTATCGTCGCGGATATTGATTTATATCCCAAAGATTATTCTTTTATTAGAGAGCTCCTAAATCTAGAAATTTAGAGACTAAAAATCACCGTTGAAACTATTATTAGATATTGTAAGACTATTTATAAAAATATCGATTCGACGGGTATTTATAGGTTGTTATAAAGAAAAACTTTTTCATTTGCAATCGTGAATTATTTAGCGAAAGTCGATAGACTGTGGTAAGTTTTCAGTTAGATGAAAAGAACTCATGGAAAAGTTATCACTCTGACATCAATTCTTATTTATATTGCTTTTTATTGCACGGATTAACTGCTCTGTATACTGAAACTACTCAAGAAAATTAAAAATAAGAATTTCAAATGAATTTTTATTGCTTTTAAAAGATTGTTACTTTGTCAAGAAAAAAAAAATACTGAATGTCTTAACATCACATTAAATCTGATGACAAGATAGAAAATCATACAACTCAACAAAAAGTATTAAAAATATTTAATGAAAATCTTGACTTAAGAGCTTTCTAAAACAAGCGCTAGTAATTATTTATTAATTATTTAAAAATTAACATTTTCAATAATTTTTGATAAAAAATATCGTAAAAGAAAAAAATAAAGATTTTGATAGCTTTTTTACCTTCAAAAGTTGCAAAAAATTTTGGCTCTTATGTTTTTGGATAAAATTTCTATTTTATCTTTTTTTGATGTTGTTAATATATTTTTTTTTTGAAAAGTACATAAAAAACAAACAATTTAAAAAAAAAAGTTGATTATACAATTTACTAAAAAATTTATAAATTTTTTTTTTAATTTGTTAAAATTGTGATAATCAACTTTTTTTTTTTAATTGTTCATTTTTATAAATTAAAAAAAAAATATTTCAATAAAATCAAATAGAAAATCCGTTCAAAAAAATAAAAATGAAAATGTTTGACCTCCCTTGTAAATATTTACCCAAACGCTCAATATTAATTTCTGTATCATGATATGAAGGAAAAAGCTAATAAAGAAAGTACAGAGGAATTAATACATTTGCAGTAAAACTAGCATAACATTGAGAGAGAACGGAGGGCTCTCGAGCCAGTCAGTGAACGGGAAGCATTTAAAGCTTAAGTTTGCACGAGGTGGAGGAATGATAAAAAAATAAAAAATAAAACGTAACTCAGATGCACCCTTGGGGCTTCCCGCTGCTCTTTCTCCCTCCATTGGCCCACTTACAGCGAGTTTGTTTTCTCTGATGTGTACTACTGTGTGTAATACGTAGAGCGCGGCTATATCAGAGTAGTAGTAACGATACTAAAGTAGTAACTGTTTTGTTATTTTTCTACATGATCGTTCGTTTTATTCCGTAAAACCATTTTTCGCCCACGAGCGATTCTTCTGTTCATGTTGATGTTGGATTTTAGTTCACGTGAATCGAATAATAACAATGCGAATAAATTGTCGAGTATTTTCAGTTGAGTTGAAACTGACACGGGTTACGTAAAAACTACCCGAACTCTACCTACCTCGCGATGGTTTGTAAATAATTATTTAATTTTAATTATTATTGATTAAAAAAAAATTAATTTTTTTCTTTACTTACTCGGTTTGATTGTCCTCGAAGATTACAGAGCCCTCGCAGTGGACGTACTGCTTCCCGGGCTTCGCTGTGCCTTCACTAGTTTTGTAGGGAACTGCTACCCGTCCTCTGGCTCCACTGTAGCGCACTACTTTCAGAGGATACTGACCGACACTCTCCACCAGCTCGATGACACCTCCCTCCGGGAACCCGAAAATTCCACTGTGGTCGTCGTCCAGGATCATCACTGTCGCGAGACTCGGTGAGGCCAGGTCTGCTGGAGCTGAGACGTTGGCTAGCCTAAACAATAATAAATTTATTGTTTATTTTTTTTTTACCATATATTGAGTCATACTTTTTTCACGTTGAGAATTATGAAGCTAAAGTCTGCTGACAACTGTCAATTTTTTGGATTTTCACAACAAATAAGTTACTATTAAAAAAAAAAATTTTTAAAAAGCAACAATAAATTTTTTTGATGACATTAAAGTTAGCAGTCGCTTGACAATTTTTTAATAAATAAATTTGCTCCGAAAAATTATTTCTAAAAAATTGGATTTTTAATTTATTTAAGTTTCTACAAGTCAATTTTTTTGGCCATGATTTATTTGTTTAAAAAATTCTTAAAACTATTAAAAATCTGGTGAATTAATTTTCATATTTTTTTGGCATCTACAAGTGGAATTTTTTAGAAAACTCTTACTATAATAATTTATTTGTCGAAAAAAGTCCTAAAAATCATTAGATGTCAGCTGACTTATGAAAATTAAGTTAAAAAATTTTTAGAACTTTTTTTTATTAAGAAAATTATTGCAAAATAATAAAAAAAAAATTTCATTGATAAAAAACCTGAAAAACTCTAAGTGCAATTTTTAAAAAATATTTTTTAGTTCTAATTTAATAATTAAAAACGTCGGCTAACTCTAGTGTTATAGCTGACTTCAGTATTATTGAGAATTACGAATGTAATAATAAAAAATTTCTAAACTTTAACAAACAAATTTGATAATTGTAACGTAAAACTCAGCTTGTGTTTGAGAAATCAAAACAGCTGTCACTCGTTTGATGTTTCAGTACGTCATCTATTATTATCTGTAACGATAATTGTTATCCACACAAAATTTGATTATATTCACAAGTTCTGACAGCTTTGATTAATTAAAATAATTACTACCGTACATTTACAGTCATCTATCGATTTTTCAGTGATTTTACTCCAAAATACTTATTTATTTTATATGAAACTAAAAGCAATATATATCTGACAATTTTTTTAAATAAATAAATTGTTATTTTTATAAGCAAAAAATTTTTAATAGCTGATTTTATCTTCAGATTTTTTATTTAATTAAAGTATTTTAAGTATTTTTTAAAATAAATAAATATTTATTTTTATAAACAAAAAATTTTTAATTGCTGATTTTATATCTAAAGTATTTTATTATTTATTTACTTCGTCAAGCGTAAGTGAATCTAATTACCCATTACATAATGACAGTGCGATATAGAGGTTACGAGGTTATCAGTGAGTGTTTGTATACCCTCTGCCTTGTTATGTGAAGAAACACCGGGCGAAGAAATTTAATTTTTATATTTAACTTCATTGTTATTCAAAATTAACAATAATTTATATTTATTTATTTTAATATTTTCAATAATAATACTTTACGGTTCGAAAAAAAAACAAAACGCAACGTCATTGTCTAGCAATTTCACGGACTACATTTTTTATTGCGCAGTTTAAAAAAAATGACGCCGCCTGGCGGCCAAACTGCGCGGCTATTTTAAATCTCAGTAGAGTGGGGGAAGTCCGTTATTATTTTAAAAATTTTCAACGGTGAAATGTGCTGTTAAAATTTATAATCTAATAAAATAAATATTATAAATATAATATTAATAAATATAAATTATTTAATTATAAAAAAAATTAATTTGTGATTTAAAAATGTATTAAAACTTTTTTACGCGCTTTTTTTTTGTCTAAGCTCCGAATAGTCAACAGAACGGGTTCGCGTAATTAGAATGCAAATGGCCGCGTTTATTTATTGACAGGTCATGCAAACACTTTTATTAGTAAAAATTCAGTGTTTTTTTATCTCCAAAATAAAAAAATCAATTAATAATTACATAAAAGTTACGCGTTAAAATAAATATCAGACAGTTGACTTTATTTGTAGCAAATAATTTATTTTATATCAATAATTAGTCAAATAAATTTTAATAAAAAAAAAAATTGGAGTAAATTTTATAAATTTTATTGCCAATTAAATAAATAATAATAATAATAATAATAATTTTTGTAGGAATATTTTGAATAAAAAAAAAATAAAAATGAGAACTGTCAAGTGTCTGATATTTTCAGTGGTGAAATTTAAACGAGCGGTGTCAATTTATTACTAGATAAAAAAGGATAAAGTGTTAGTAGAGTGTGAGTTTTTTTGTGTGATAGAACGAAGATTATCAAGTATTCATAAAATTTTGTGACATGTAGTAATACGAAGCCATAAGCTCCTGAAATTAATTGTATGTCAAGTTTATTTTTATTTTTTAACCCAGTCAGAAAATTTTAATTAATTGTTGAATTTTATAATGAGTATGTTTATTTTTCAGAGGATGATCGAGTTTAAATGAAATCACAGTTATGTTTATTAATCCAGTGTTTTATTGACAATTGTTTGGCCCAATTAAGAGAGAAAAATAATCCATATTCAAGGTGAAAACAGCAGACCTGTAAGTTTTTTATTATTTTTATATAAATTTCAATGAAATCCGCATGCTAAATTTTTTTATCCAGTATCAATTACCAATTATAATTCTCTATTTACATACGATACAAAGTATCGAATTTTTTTCCATTTAATTCTTTATCAATTGGAAAATAATATTTTGTATTTAAATTGTACAAAAATAATTTTATTTCATCAAATAATTTTTGGATGAACTCCAACTTTTTTTAATTATTTAAAAAAAGATAATTCATCAAATTTAATTCAATTCTGACCTTATTTCATGATATTAATGTTAGCAGTCACTTGAACATTTTTTAATTTTATTTAATAAACAAATTTGTTCTAAAAAATTATTTTTAAAGAATTGCATTTTTAATTTTTTTTAATTTATACATGTCAATTTTTTTTTTCTAATTTTTTTTTGCTCTAATTTTTAAAAAATTGCATTTTTAATTTCTACATATCAATTTTTTTTGCACTAATTTATTTCTTAAAAAAACTAAAAATTATAAAGGATCTGCTACTTTAATTTTTATCCTTATTTCGTCTCTCTGCTGATATTTTTACAACCAATATCTTTAAAAATATTTATTTATGATCACTAAAAAAATTCACTGTAATTTAACTCGTCACGTTGGGAAAACCGTACAGTAAATTTAACGTGCAGCGAGTAGTGAACCATACCAATATAAGTTCCAAAATTGAAACACGCTGACAAGTTAAGTATGAAGGCAAACATGGAACGACAACCAAGAACCGGGTCAAGTGTCTTAGTTTGGTTTTATTCTTCAAAGCTCGACAGTTGATAGATGTAAGTAACAAGCAGCAGGTACATTTTTCAGATAGATGATTGATGCAATTGGATCCTCCATCACAGTGTGAAAGATCTAATCTAAGTGGATCATCATGTCTACGTCTCCGTAAAAAGCTCAAGATTGATAGTTTAATGAAAAGTTAAATAAATAAAATATTGAATCTGGAAATTGCGGAAGTGTCACTTTGCGATCAAGAACAATGACAATGACAATGACGAGCAAGGACAAGCATCATCAATGATGAACGCAGACCGCTCTCTCGAACCTTTACTCTTGTCCCTCGACGGCTGAGTTTCGTATTTAACGAGTTAATTCACTCTGGCACGTGCTTCGGTATATATCTCCTCTGGGTGGATGTTTTATCTGTAACGAGCGTTTATTATCATAGTCATCGACACGAGAGACTACAGAATAATTTATTAAAATTTAGAAACACATGAAAGTGATCTATAAATACAACGTTGTTATTTTAGGAGTGACTATGAGGAATTATTGAGAGCCAAGTCTATTTTCTGCTACATGTAAATATTTTTGGTAATTATTTACAAGTGGGGTCAATTTTGATTTTCATTTTTTTAACGAAATTTCTATTTGATTTCATTAATATATATATTTTTTTTAAACACATAAAAAAATGAGCAATTAAAAAAAAAATTTGGTTATTACAATTTTAACAAATTTTCAAAAAAATTTATAAATTTTTTAGAAAATTGTGATATTAAACTTTTTTTTTGTACTTTTCAAAAGACAATATATTAAAAACATCAAAAAGAGATAAAAATTTAAATTTTATCCAAAAACGTGACTGCCAAAATTTTTTCCAACTTTTAAAAGCAAAAAAGCTATCAAAATCTTTATTTTTTTTTTTTCACGATATTTTTTATCATAAATAAAAAATAAATTAAAAAATGTTAATTTTTCACCTAGATATAGCCAAAAATAGGATTGACCGTACTTGTAAATAATTACCGTATTTTTAATCACCAATTAATAATTGTTAATTATAATAACTTTATTGGAATTTTTGGTAAATTAGTAATTAGCAATAAATAATAAAATAAATGAATAACTCATGTCCTCTTTGCGGGTATCAGAGCAGAGTTAGTTGAGATTTCATCCATTAATTAGTGATAACAGGACTCCCATCAGGGATTTGTGTGGAAGCCACTGGGGCATGTCACGAAACGATAGACAGCAAGAGGAGCAAACTACAACTACAACCAGAGCATTATAATGCCGAGAAATGGAGAAACTACTCGACACACACTGCGAATACTTAACAGTGAACCTCGTTGACTAATCGGCAGCATGTCCTCGAGAATGAATTTTCGTTTGAGAGATCTCAAATGATTATCGGAAGCCTACACTAGAACTAGTCAAGTTTATTACTGCGAACAGCGATACTCAACTTATACTGTTCTGTTCACTGTGTAGATAGCAGCCCACAAAACGCTGAGAATGTTCGGGTTCGACAAAGGAACCCATCAAGTTTAACACCCACCCGATCTCTGTTACCAGAGGGAATTTATTGCCGAATTTGCGGTTAAAGTCGATGGCAAAATTACAGCCTGCACCTAATACGTAATTCCGAATATTCGTATTGGGATTAGGACACTTTAATTTACAATGCATGTGCTTCTCAGAGTGAAATAATGGACTTACATCTCTGTAAAGACTTAATGGACTCTATGCTAGAACTGGTTAGGAGTTACACCGACTTAATGGCGAGCTTGAATCTAGAGTTGAGTGAAAAAAGAGTAAAAGCTCCAGATGTTTTTACACAATTCCAAAACTCGGAACTTTAAAACTTTAAGAGCTTGTATCGCATTAGATTCTGAGCAGAGTTTTTTGGATTGTGATCCCTTGGAGTTTTATCCTTCGAAGTCTAGTCAGCAAGTTTATTCTAAATTACATGTTTTATTTTTTGTCCAACTTTTTCGATCTATCTCATTTTTGCCAGGTTTAATTGTAAAGCCATCGTGATTCAAATCCTTTGATTCAATAAATTATCTCTGATGTGAAGTTTATAGAAGCCCGAGAAATTTTAATTTTCTTACGTTAATGAGATTTTTTGTCAACGCGCTGGTTCGTAAATTCTTTTTGTTTAAAGTATACATGAATGAATTTCCCAGCGCTTTGTGTACAAAAAAATTATTCGACAAAGTAAACTTCATTTGGAATTACTTTCTGAATTTTCTACAACAATTTCAAGGGAAATAAATTTTATTATTAAAACTTTTATAATTTTTATAAATTTAATGTAACTTCATGAATTTATTATCTCGTTGGATATGATTATTTAATTCCTTTGAAGTTACAATTTTAAATTTCAATTAATTTGCTCCATAAAAACAGTTAAAAATTATTTATAAGAATCAAAAAAAAAATACTTTAAATATTAATATTAATAATACTTTCAATTATTAATTATTAGTTAATTATAAATAACATTTCAAGAACACAGAAAAAATAATAAAATGAATATTTTAAGCAATTATATATGCAATAAAAATTTTGAATTGTAATAACTAAAGTGAAACAATAATAGCTTGATATTTGAGGCTACAACTTGGAATTTAGGACTATATTATATTTTTGAAAAAATTTTTAGTAACTTTAATTTATATTTAATCTTGAAGCATATAATATAATTATAAATAAATTTTATTTATATAATATAATATAATATTTATATTTATAATATAATATAATATAATATAAATAAATTTCAATAGAAATTTTAAAGTTTAATTTCTACGACAATAGACACAAAAATAATTTTCATAAGCTTAAAATATTTTCGTGGTAATAAGGATTATCCTTGTTTACCTTTTAAAGTCGTAAAATTTATAGAGATTAAAGTTTATTTGATGTGATCATTAAAATTCCAAAGTTAAAAACAAACTCCACTTAATGTCGAAAAATAGTGTAATTCCAAATAGTTAATTCCTCTAACTCAACTCAGTATCATCCGATTACTCCAAGAACGTATAATATGAACGTCTGAATATATAAAAAGACAAAGCCGAGCAGAATCAATATCCCGCTTTACGTATATTATATCGCTCGAGGTATAACTCATAACTCAAAACCAATTTTAATAAGTAAGACCGCATAAAAGGGTTCATTGGATATATCTATTGAGATCAATTTATGAATCAAGGCTATCTTATGTGTATAACACTGTCGTTGTCCTTTCCTGTATATAAACTAACGAGCTGCATTGTTCGGCGCAACGTTGTATTGTTCCGTGGGATATAAACGACGAGGTGAGCTTAAATACACCAGCACGAAATTAATAAAACTCTTCAGGAACTCTCCATCAAAACTGCATGCTCGACAGATTGTTACGCGTCACGCGATAATCGTGTTTCCTCGATGTGACGAGCAGATATAACCATCCACCTATATATATAATCGGTAGATAGTTTAGAAATTAAGCTTCGACAATCAACAGGCTTTCGAAATACTTATCATGCTCTCAACTGACCACTTACTCAACGGCCCACACGTTAAGCCGACAAATCATTACATCTAATGACAGCAACTGATGGGCAGAAGCCTGATGGCTGATACCAGATGCCAAATACTCGGAAGATGCAATGTAGTTAGTTATTATCATTGTTAATAAACTAACTCAATTAAATCATTAATGAGACCGCTGAAGATACTGCAGATTACTTCAGAATTAATTGCTAAATTCCTCATTGAAGAGAATCAAGAATAACCTTGATGAAGGTTGGGATTATCTTTGTCGAAATTGAGCGAATTAATGATGTATGAAGACTGGAATTTTATCAGCAAGATGACGTCATGCATACCTAAAATTTTTAAATATAGTTGTACTTGTCATCATTAAGAATGGATTTATTTACACTATTGATCTGTTGTAATCAGATATCCAGCGAAAAATCTACAGACTATAATAATTAATAGCTTCGACACATGCCTAACACCATTTATAGACCCTTGTGTTCAAACAGATTAATGAAACCTCAGTCAATAGAGGAGCGTCATCAGCATTAGCCCTAATCCCTATGAATTATTTATTTAGATAATAAACATTTTTCTTCGTTTAGTTTTCCATTATAATTAGGATAAATGTGTACAAATATTTTATTTGTTAATACAGGGCGGAAAAATAATTGTCGAGATTTTTTTTTATTAACTTTTGTTATATTTACCAAGAGAATCACGAGTTGAAAATCGAATTATTTTGGAAAATAATCTAGGAGTGCAATATTTTTAAAATTTATTGATTATTTGTTACTTTTTAAAATCATTTGAATAGTATTAATACAATAAACGTGTTCTAGTTAAAAACTCGGATTCAATCTTGTGAATAAAAATTATTGGGCTATAAAAATAATTAAAATAATCCAATAATTTGCTATCAAATTTGTTTTACGGAAAAAATGGATGTATTTTATATATTTAAAAAATTTTTTTACCTATGTTTATTATATTTTAACTTATTGAAAAATTTATTACAAAAAAATTCCCCAAATGCAATTTTCAAAGTTTTAAAAATTTATTTTTAATTTATGAAAAAAATCTTCAAGTTTAGTGATTTTAGTATCATCAAAAAATATATTTTTCATAAATAATTTCCAAAAAAATTCTCAACATAAAAAAAATTATCCAAAAAAAAACTAAAACTTACTTGACATAGAAGCACTCATCCTCTTCAAAGACATCATCATCAATAACCGACAGCTGGATAGTCTTCCTGATTTCCCCAGGTTCAAACCTAAGAGTCCCCTTAACTTCAACATAATCAGCACCAGCCTCAGCGGAACCATCTTCAGTAAAATAATCAACAGTGCAAGCTTGATCAAGATCTCCACCAACCCTGGTGACAGTAATATCAAAAGTCCCAACATTTTCCATCACAGTATAATGAGCAGGCTCAAAGAAGATCCTCATCTTATTAATATCATCAATATTAACACACTCGGCTTCCGCCCTCTGAAGTTCAGCCTTGACTTCACTGAGATCACTCTGTGCCCGTTCGCTGATCTTCCTGCTAAGGTTTCCAGCACCGACCATCTTTCTGGTGGCCAGAACACGATAAAACGCTCTGCTTTTGGGGCCTTTTCCCAGGACCTCTTCATGAGCCATCACCTCGAGCTGCTCCAAGGGCAGAGCGGGGTGTTTCTTCCTCAGTTCCCTCAAAGTGTTGATGTAGTCCTTCCTGGTGCTCTCAAATTCTCTGGCCTCCTGGCCGCAGCTGTCCCCAACTCTGTCCACGAATAGATGAGGACCATCATGGTCCTTGATTTCCAGCTCGACTCCGGCTTCAGAGTCGCTGGCCTCTCCCTGGACGATAACTCCGCGCTGGTTCATCCTGAATCCCTTGTGCAAGTACTTGTAGATGAGCAATCGCTGATCAGCGACGTAGGCCGTCAACACCGTGGCTGGGAAAAAGAGGAAAGTCAGCAGACCCTCCCAAACTTCGAGCACTCCCGGACTGGAGACTGCAAGGATCAAGTACAGCCAGACGTAAGCGAAAATACTCCAGGTGGCTGTCACGAAGAAGACCCTCAAGTGCTTGATCTTCCGGTGCTCGCCTTTCGGTATCACAAACACGCAGAGCGCTATTATCACAAAGAGATTGTAGGCCGCGGAACCGACTATCGTGCCCGGGCCCAACTCCCCGGCCTGGAAGTCTTTCGCCCAGATTTCGATTATCGAGAGGAGAATCTCTGGAGCGCTGCTTCCGAGCGCCATTAAGGTCAGATTCGCCACCGTTTCGTTCCACACCCTCACTACGACTATCTGCGGCTCCTGGTCTGGCCTCCGGACCACTAGCTCCTTTTCCTGGGAAGTTATCACCTCTATCGCCGCCATAAAACGGTCGCTTATTATTGAGACTCCGATGAACAAGTAGAGGAGCAGGAGGAAGTAGACCGTTCCCCGGATTATTATGTCGCTCAGTCCTATGTCCTCTTGAGGGTACCACATCGGGATCACCAGACCCTCCGTACAGTTTAGGGAGTACAGAGACATTTTTTTATTTTTATTGTTTTTTTAAGACACTTAAACTAGTTTGCTTGAAAGACTTTGTCGGGGTATTTAGAATGGTTACATCTCACAAGGAGATAATGATCTTTTGAAGTAATGTGTTCTCGACATTCACTTATTTCGTTCACTCACTAGGGTTTTTATTTCGATTGTTCAAAATTTTAGCTGCTAGAAATTTATTGGAAAAATTAGGATGAAATTTAATATAATTTTTAGTGAAGAGAAAAAAGACAAATTTAATTTAAAATGATTTTAATTAATTTTAAATTTAAAAATTTTTTTCTATCAAAAGTTTTTTTCAAATAAATTTTATTTAAAAAAAATTTGCCTTTCTCTTCCCTCAATAATTATATTATGTCTCAAATATTTAATTATAAATTTGAAAAAATAATTTTATTTTAATAGAATAATTTAGTTAAAAAATAAAAATCATCCCTAATTCTTCCATCAAATCAATGAATCAAAATTTAAAAATTTTTTTCCATCTGAAGAAATTTTCAATATTTTTCTAATCTAAAAAAATTTTATTTAAATAATAAAAAAAATTTTCAGTTAAAATTTGCCTCTTTTCCTCTCTACCCTTAATTATTTATTTTTGTCTTAATAATTAAATTAAATCATCAATAATAAATTTTAAAAAATAAAAAATTTTCTTTCAATCCAATAATTTAGTTAAAAAAAAAAATATCATCTATAATTCTTCCATCAAATCAACGAATCAAAAAAAAAATCCAAAGCAACCCTACCGGGTTCACAACTCACTGTAACTCTCAATCCGAATTCCCTCTTATCGAAATCTTAAAAAAAAAAAAGGTTGATTGAACAAAACACTTTTACTCCAAAACAATAAAACACACTTGAAATAGTCGCCCCCCGGGTGATAAATCCTGCATTTCTATAACCAATATTCCAATCTACTCATAATGTCATATACGTAATACCAAATCGACAGCTACCGAGGAAACTCTTGAAACTTTGGACGAACGAGACAACGAGGTCCCATCACGCGGACCTCGAGCACACACGCACTCACAATCAAACCGAGTTTGGAACGCTCAGTCGCGGTCGAGGGAACACTGAGCACTGATATGAAGATAGAGAAATGCATCGGGCGAGACCGCCCGCGGAAGAGTCCCTCTTTCTCCCTCAACTTCCACCACTTAATCGTCAGGCACCACCACAGCTACCCATTCTATAAATGTGTGTCTCAGCATAGACACACACCAGGAAAAGCTTGCACCCCTCAGGCGGTTCTTTTTCCCTCGCCTAGAGCTTATCATCAAGCTGCGCCTGCGTCCTTCTGCTCAAGTTCTCCACACCCTAGCCAGGATGGTCTACAGCTGGCAAGGGCAAGAGTATAAGAGTAAACTGATGTACTGGGAGTGTGTGGGGTTCTGGATAATGATAATAATAATAATATAAGGGACGAAAAGAAAAGCAGAGTCGATTTCTTATAGAGTTTCGAATCTAGAGAAGAGACTGAGTATTGTATTGTATGTTAAAGTAAGCTTTGGTTATTTATATGGATATGATTATAAATAAGAGCCAGACTTTTGTCAGAAAATCATCATAAAGATTATCAGATTATACATACCTTTTTCATTTTATTATCGTCTAAGTTTAATAGGATTACTTTCTGAGAAATGTTGGTCTTAAATTGCTAAAGTTCTTTTGGGATTATTCTATTTTTGGACGTAAACTATATTATTTTTGAATTAATACGAGTATATATTGGAGACAATATTTCTTATAAGTCCTTCGAGGTTGATGATTGATGAGCTGAGGAATTTTTTCGGGGAATTTTTGTAAAAAGTGTATATTTTGATTTTCTTAGTTGGGCGGGAAGAATAAAAATGAGACAGAATTTTTTTAGATAATTTATTTATTATAAAGAAGTTTTTTTATGATTTATTGTTTTGTAATACAATTTTTTTTTCGGAAAATTTTATCAATTTTAAAAGAAATAAGAAATACATTTTCGGGTATTTTTATTATTTATTCAAGAAATAACTATGTATATTAACGTGTTTTATTTTCAAATATGCAAAATTATATGAAACAAAAATTTTAGAGACTCAGATGAATTTCGACTACACAATTTTGATTTATGGTGACAGATATCAAATTTTCTATAAGAAAAATATAATTAATGTCTACTTTTAACAATTTTTTTCTCAAAAATATAAACACAGTTGTTTTGAAATTTTAACAGCAAATTTTTGGAAAATGAATTAAACAAGATTTGATTTGACTACTAAATAGATATGCACTTTGCATGAATTGATTTTTTTTAAATTAAATTTTTTTTTTTTAAATCAGGGTAAAGTATTTTCAAAATCAATAATCGCGGTCTTCGGCAACTCTGCTAATAAGCCAACATCCATTGCCGAAAATCTATTTCCTCCTATAGAAACATACTTAAGATTTTTGGCCCGTCCCAAAGCCAAACTCGAAAAGTTCTGGAAGAAATTTTCCTTAAGCTGCAAATATTGCAAATTAACATTATCAGGAATCCAATCGTTTGGCAAAGTGTAAAGCAAGTTCTTAGAAAGATCAAGCTCTTCCAAAGACCCTAACTTATCAAAAGCTCCGCTACTTATTGATGTGATGATGTTGCTGCTCAAATTCAGACTTTTGAGTTGTTTCAAGTCACCAGAAAAAGAGTTTTCGGTCAATTCTGAGATTAAGTTCTTCGACAACGAGAGTTTCTCCAAATGATTAAGATTTTTGATTTCTGGAACAGCCTCAAGTACGTTGTTGTCGATGAACAATATTTTTATACTCAACAAATCACTCAAAGCGTTACTAGGGAAAGAATTGATTCCGTTATCTGACAGGTCTAGTTTTATCAAATTTACCAAAAATTTGAACGCATCAGGCACGATATTTTCAAGACCCATTCTAGACACGCTTAAAACTTCTAACGAGTAAGAATGCTTCAAAGTAATTCCTTTACACGGTTCATTGATGTCACAAAAATTGCTCATTTTGTTCCCATCAAGAGCCAAAACTGCAACGTTGTTCAAGTTATCAGCATCGAAATTGGTTAGCTTGTTGTCGTCCAGGTACAATTCCTGCAGACTCATCGGCAGAGTTTTTTCCAAGTCGAATGTAATCAACTTGTTGTTCGACAAGTAAAGATGACTGATTTCGGGCATCAGCAGATCCAGAGCATCCACACCAGCAAATTTGATGTGTTCAATATTGTGCCCTCGGAGGTACAAGTGCTTCAATTTCGGCAGAGTCCAATCTTGCGTGAATGTAATGTCAAACCCATAATTGTGCTTAGCTTTGGTTTCGCGCAACCGATTATACTCGTCTTCCAATGTTTCTTCTTCGAAGTATGTAACATCGAAGTCCAAGTCTCCAACGACAGCTTCGTCCAAAACCAACGTTTCAAGCACAGAAGTGTTTTTGAACTTCAACTGCGAAAACGGAAAGAAATTGTGGCTTAGGTTTAAATAAACCAAGCTTGGCAAATCTTCGAAGACATCACTCGAGACGTTCCAAATGTGGTTGTGTGATAGATTCAAATCCGTCAGATGTTCGTCGCTTATGAAGGGCTTCCTCAGGGTTGCTATTCCCATCCCGGAAAAGTCTAATGAATCCCCTCCGATGGAATCTTGCACAAAGAGACACCATAACGAGAAAATAAGCAAAGAGCGCATTATTAGAACTTATTCTTAGCAAATGCTTTGAGATACTAACTGCTGATCATGAGCAGTATAATAATGTAAACTATCTGTTTATCGATCTGCGGAATAAAAATCTCGGGTGACTTGTTATGCAAGAGATTGAGATAAATATAATGTCAACGTTAGACGGAAAGTAATATCTCGTCGTGGAAAAATATGCTTCAATGACAAGTTATTCCGCAAGTCAGCGGAACTCTTGTTGCATTGCTATTTGCTATTGAAATTACATTTTTATAATAATTTGTTCGTGGTAGCAGAATTTATTTGATGTAAAATTAGGTTTAGTTACTTACCGTTTCAAAATTTGGAAGAAAACTGGACATCAGTAACTACAAAATTGTTTTTTTCTTCAAATTGGAAATGGAACAATAAATTATGTGAATATTTATTTTTAAATAATTTAATTATTAGAGATTCAAGAACAAGCGATCAAATTTTTATTTAAAATTTGAGTACAATTACAATAAGTAGTAAAATATAAAAAAGAATATAAATCTATAGTTATTATTTCTAATGAAATCATTAACAAAAATCATGTATTAAAAAAAATTGATCATTCTCAGCAGCCATTACAATATTCATAAACAGTTGAAAATTTATCATGCTAATCGAAGTCTCGCATGGTCATGGTTCGTATTTCGTCGGTCCAAATTTTATTTCTCATGTTTGGCATTGATGGTAATTCAAAATATTGTTCAACTTCAACATCCATCGTCAGATTTTCGGGTAGAGACCAAAGTGTTTGTAAATTTATCATAAATCTCAGTGGATTATTACCAATGTTCAAGTGTTGAAGAGTTTTAATTTTGATAATTGACGAACTCTGAAAACTTGTTAATAAATTATCATTCAAGAACAAGTATTTTAATTTTATTTTCGGAGTGATCCAATCATTCGGTAAAATTTGAAGCTTGTTTGAAGAAAGATCTAATACTTCTAATGAAACTAATTTATTGAATGTTCCTGGGATGATTTCAGTCAACCCATTATGACTGAGCTTTAATATTTTCAAATTCAATAAATTATCAAAATTGTATCTCTTTAAAGAAGTAAGATTATTATTTGAAACTGAGAAATATTCTAAATTTTTAAGATTCGATATATTAGGAATATCAATCAATTGATTGTTTTCCAAAATAAGTGTCTTCAGTTGAACTAAATTATTTAATGCGTTGTTAATTTCACTAATTTTATTCTCAGACATGTCTAAATATATTAATTCTGACAAATTTTCTAACGAATCTGTTGCGATGTATTCTAGGCCTACGTTGACAATCGACAAACATTGTAATTGCTTAAGCCTTCTTAATCTCATTCCCCAGCAGTCAGAGTCATAAATTTGATCATGAGGTCCACACAATTTATTAATTTTATTTTCATTGAAATTTAAAACTTTTAAGCGATTGGCAGGCTTGCCAACATCGAAACTATGTATTTCATTGGCGTGCAGATCCAAATGAGTTAAACTTTGAGGAAAATTTTTCAAGAAATCCACCGATTCAAGATCATTTTTGCCTAAATAAAGATGCGTTATGCTTGGCATAATATCACCTAACGATTTGATATTTTTTAAAATTATTTTCTCAATTTTGTTTTCACATAAATACAATTTTTTTAATTTTGAAAATTCCATACACGACTCAAAAGAAATGCTCATTTTTTTATTTCTACGGTTGTAATCTTCAATTACGCGACATCGATTAGAAAATTATAAGTCATCATTATCATAATAATAAGCAGAGTATTCCCTATAATGCTCCGAATAAGTAGATTGATCTTCTAAAATTATTGCTTTATCTAAAATTAAAGTTTCAACATTCGACAAATTATTTGCAAGCAAAGTTTTGAATGGAAATACATTCTCCATCAAATTTAAATACTTTAAATTTGGCAAACTGTCAAATACACCCTTTTCAATTTTCCAAATATTATTTTTTGATAAATCAAGATGTGTTACAGTAGAACTGTTGAAAAACGTATTTTTTAGATGCATTATTCCCATATTTGATAAATTCAATGTTTCTCCACTTTCCTTTTCACTGATGAAGTCATTGTCATTTGATAAAGGATCTATTTCACAAATCACAAATACACACCATAGTACATTTATAAGAAACACCTTATGTAGCATTTTTGAAGAGAACGAATTTTTTCAAAACAACGATATATTATTTTGAATACTCTGACATGAATTCATATGTCACTGATCTTCCGATAAATATCTTTACACACTGAATGGATTTAAATTTTTCACAGAATTTAAGTAGTATCACCAATCAACTAGATTATTATTATCTTAAAGTGATGTTATGAAATTGCCTTCTAAAAAAAGCGTTGATACTTCAATCACTGAAGACCTATTCAACTTCATAAGATAAATGAAATTTAATTTCTTCAGACTTAATAGGCCATGGAGAGTTGAATTGTCTAAATATTCGATGTGATTTTGTAAAATTATGATGGTATGATTTTATAACGATTGTTCGTGGTAGCAGAATTTATTATTTGATGCGAAATTAGGTTTAATTACTTATCGTTTCAAAACTTGGAAAAAAACTGAATAGATCTGAAGCTTGTATTGACTGTTTGGAGATAAATAATGACATTAATTACAAAATCGTTTTTTTATTCGAATTATATCATTATATGCTAAAAAAAAATAATACTTCTACGAAAAAAATTTTCTTGACACAAAAACTTGATCACCATTAATATCCAAAGTCACATTATCAGACAAGAACATCAATGACTTCGTATTTGCGATTGACGGTAGTGGATTCTCTGCAAGGCTTACGTACCGAAGATTTTTAATCGCAGTCAATGGCAAGTTAGAAAAACTTAAAAATAAATTATTACGCAAAAATAAACATTCCAACTTTGTTTTAGGAGTAATCCAAAAAGTTGACAGTGTCTGAAGCTTATTTCCAGATAGATCCAATACTTCCAAAGACTCAAATCCATTGAATGTTCCCGGAATGATTTCGTCCAAGTTGTAGCTGAGATTCAATGATTTTAAATTTTCTAGCTTGTCAAAATCAAATTTCCTCAAAGAACTTATCTTGTTTCGGGCAATCGAGAAAAGTTCCAAATTTTTCAACTTAGAAAGGTCAGGAAGGGCACTTAGTTGATTGTCGTCTAGAATTAGTGTCTTCAAATTGACTAATTCATGAAATGTTCTGTTTTCAATTTGACTAAGGTTGTTCTGAGACATAATCAAATAAACCAAAGCAGATGAATACAAAAATGCGTTTGCTGAAACGTTTCTTAGACCTACGTTTTCAATTGAAAAATATTCCAATTGCGGAAACTTTTCCAATAATATTCCATCACATCCGCCACCAGGATAATGTCCACACAATTCATTGAATTGATTGCCATTGATATTCAAAACTTTAAAACTGTTGTTAGAACTCTCAATTGTAAGCTGAGATATATTATTATTGTCCAAATACAAATGAGTCAAAGTTGGAGATAAACTGTCCAAGTTTATTGCTGTAAGATAATTTTCGCTAAGATAAAGATGCGTCAATTTCGGCGTTATTTGATTCAGAGAATCTAAATTACGGAACATCAGAAGCTCAATTTTATTTTGGCGTAGATACAATTTTTTAAGTTTGGGAAACTTCATCGAAGCGTCAAAATAAATATAACTAGTCCGGTTTCTTTTTTTGTAATCTCCAATTTTGTGGCACTGATGCATGAATTCTTAATAATTATTAGTGTGATCCTCTCCGTTGTAGAACTGGTTAGCCAAATCATCATCATAAACATTATTAACTACTGCTTTGTCCAAAATCAATTTTTCAACGCTCGGAAAATCATTATCACGTAAATGTTGAAACAAAAATACGTTCTCCGTAAAATTCAGTGCTTTAAATTCGGCAAACCGTCGAATGCGCCCTTTTCAATTTTCCAAATATTGTTTTTTGATAAATCAAGTTCTGTTACAGTTAAGCTGTTTAAAAATTTAATTTTCAAAACCATAATTCCCATATTCGAAAAATCAAATGCTTCTCCGCACTTATCTTCGCGGATTAAAATAATATCGTCTGATAGATTATCTATTTCACAATACACAAACACACACCACAGTAATACTGAAACCAAGTTCCGCAGCATTGTAAAAATGATAACTGATAAATTTATTCAAAGCGAAAGTATTATTTCTGAATGTGATACTCTTGGAAGCTATCAAAGACTGATTTGTTTGATCTCTTACGAATTTTTTAGAAGACTGAATGGATTCGAAGCGTGTGAACTGTTTAAAGATATTAAATTATATCAACAATCGAAAGTTTCTTTTAAAGAATGACATCATTATACATACTATTTTATGAAAGCATAATTAAAAGAATCGTATGGAATTATTCGTAGATATTCTTAATGAAAAAGAAAAAAATTGAAATTTATAGAATCAAAAATTATAGATTCTTGTAAAAATAATATATTTATTCACTTTATTGTCACAATTTTGAGCTAATAAAAAATACTATTAGAAATAAAAATTTTCCGTACCAATATCAGCATTAAAAAAACCATTTTAAGACAATAAAATTTTATTAATGAGTTACATTATTATATTTGTTGATAAAATTACAATAATTTCAATAAAATTTTAGTAAAAATACATTAAGTAGAAAAATATAAATCCATAAGCATTATTTTTGATAAAAATAATCGCAAAAGTTAAGAAGTCATTCACGAATAGTTCATAGTATTCAAATTCCCGATATCCACAGTTGTATTTTCGGGTAAAGTCATTAATGCTCTTATATTTATTAACTTGAGTGGATTTCCAGTGACATTGACGTACTGAAGACTTTGGATTCCCATTAATGAAAAACTTGACCAACTTTTAAATGAGTTATCATTCAAGAATAAATGTTTCAGACTTACTTTCGGAGGAATCCAGTCAGGTGACAGAATTTCGAGCTCGTTTGCAGAAAGATCTAGTTTTTCTAACGAAACAAGCTCATCGAATGTTCCTGAGTTGATTTCAGTCAGTCTATTATGACTAAGATTGAATATTTTTAGATTAGATAGACCGTCAAAATCTGATTTGTGCAAAGTGCTTATTCTATTTTTAGCAATTGAAAAATATTCTAAATTTTTAAGACCAGAAATGTAAGGAATAGCTCTCAGATTATTGAAGCTTAGATCGAGTGTCTTCAACTTAACTAGATAACTAAGTGTATTGTTGTAAAATGTAGGAATTAAATTATGAGACATATTTAAATAGTTTAGCTGTATGAAATCTTCAAAAGCGTTTGTTGAAATGTATTCGAGGCTCACGGAAGTAATCGAAAAATATTCCAGTTGTTTAAACACGTCCATTAATATTCCAGGGCAGTCTTGATTGGCTCCGCACAAGGATAGCATTTGATTATGATCGACAGTCAAAACTTTCAATCTATTAACTGATGATCTATCCGGTTTGATGAAGCCAATTTGATTGTTATCCAAGTGCAAATGAGTCAAGGTCGGAGGAAATTTTTTTAAGAAATCCACTGATTGAAGAGAATTTTCGTTGAGATAGAGATAAGTAATGCTTGGCATAATATCGCTTAATGCTTCAATATCTTGTAAAATTATTTCTGCAATTCTATTTTTGCGTAGATATAGTTTCTTTACTTTGGAAAATTTCATTGAATCCAAAAGAACAATTGTTTTTTCATCGCTCTCATATTTCCTTGTTGAAATTATATCGCAGTCTTCACGGACGTCATTATAAAAAGTATAAACGGATTCATCCTGGCAATAACAAATTGAACTGTCTAACACTAATGTTTCAACAGCCGTAAAATTAGTTAAATTCAAATTTCCAAATGGAAATAAATTTCTGGTTAAATTAACGAAATTCAAATTTGGCAAACTATCGAATGCGCCGTTTTCGATTTTCAAAATATTATTCTTTGATAAATTTAGTCGTGTTACCGTAGAACTGTTCAAAAAATTATTCTTCAACCATGTTATTCCCATGTTAGAGAAATCAACCATTTCTATATTTTCATTTTCACTTGAAGGTTCATTTTCAGTCGGCCCGTATTCTATTGTGCAATATACCGATACACAACACAACACCATTAAAAATAATACTTTACGGAACATTTTTACGACAATTCTGTTAAGCAATTAGTTTTATACTAGTTATTTAAATCAGCTGAACGGTCTTGAACTCTCAGCTGCTTATATACAGCCAAAATGATAGCACCAAGTTAAATTATTTCGTGCTTACTAATCACATCACTGCAAAAAATAAGAAAAACAAATACTGATGCTTCTAAAGGTTTTTTATATTATAGCAATACTTCGAACGAATTATTATTGAAATAATTCTACGTAAAAGTGTTGAAGATAAACATATCAACATTGGTATGATAAATCATATTTTTTTAACTTCAATCATTAAAACTAAAATGAAATAAAAACATGATATTTTACTAAATTAATTTAAGAATACTCTTTTACTATCTGCTTCCTTCGCCGTTACAATATTGGCCTAAAATATTTCATTAAAAATAAAAATTTTAGATAAACATTATCATAAAAAAATAATATCATAAGACAATAAAATTTTATTAATTAGTTATGAGTTACATTACATCCGTTAACAAAATTACAAAAGTTTCATAAACAATAAACAGTTTTCTGATTAAAATTTCAATTGAGCCAAATATTAGCCTTAAAGACTAGGACAATTAATCTGGCAAGTTTTACAATAAGAAGGAAATCCACTCGGAGCACTAGCAATTTTACCAATATCCACGCAAGCCGAAAGTTTCTTTTAAAGAATGACATCATTATACATACTATTTTATGAAAGTATAATCAAAAGAATCGTATGGAATTACTCGTAGATATTCTTAATGAATAAGAAAAAAAATTGAAATTTATAGAATCAAAAGTTATAGATTGTTGTAAAAATGATACATTTATTCATCATTTATTCACTTAGCTGTCACAATTTTGAGCTAATAAAAAATACTATTAGAAATAAAAATTTTCCGTACCAATATCAACATTAAATAAAAAAATATTTAAGATAATAAAATTTTATTAATGATTTACATTATTATATTTGTTGATAAAATTACAAAAATTTCAATAAAATTTTAGTCAAGATACATCAAGTAGGAAAATGATAGAAAAATATAAAACCATAAGCATTATTTTTGATAAAAATAGTCACAAAAGTTAAGAAGTCATTCATGAATAGTTCATAGTATTCAAGTTTCCGATATCCACAGTTGTATTTTCGGGTAAAGTCATTAATGCTCTTATATTTATTAACTTGAGTGGATTTCCAGTGACATTGACGTACTGAAGACTTTGGATTCCCATTAATGAAAAACTTGACCAACTTTTAAACGAGTTATCATTCAAGAATAAGTGCTTCAGACTTACTTTTGGAGAAATCCAGTCAGGTAACAGAATTTTGAACTTGTTTGCAGAAAGATCTAGTTTTTCTAACGAAACAAGCTCATCGAATGTTCCTGAGATGATTTCAGTCAGTCTATTATGACTGAGATTTAATATTTTTAGATTAGTTAGACCGTCAAAATCTGATTTGTGCAAAGTGCTTATTCTATTTTTAGCAATTGAAAAATATTCTAAATTTTTAAGACCAGAAATATACGAAATAGTTTGCAGTTTATTGAAGTTCAGATCGAGTGTCTCCAAATTAATTAAATTATGAAATGTATTATCTTCAATTATTTCAATTGCATTAGAAGACATATTTAAATAGTTCAGAGCTAACGAATATTTAAAAGAGCTTGGTGAAATGTTTTTCAGGTTCGCGTTTGTAATTGAAAAATATTCCAGTTGTTCAAACATGTCCATTGATATTCCATAGCAGTCTTGATAGGCTCCGCACAATGATTGGATTTGATTTTGGTCGACAGTCAAAACTTTCAAACTATTAACTGATCTATTCGTTTTAATGGAGCTAATTCCATTGTTTTCCAAGTGCAAATGAGTCAAGGTGGAAGGAAAGTTTGAAGTTAAGAAATCCACTGATTGAAGAGAATTTTCGTTGAGATAGAGATGAGTAATGCTTGGCATAATATCGCTTAATGCTACAATATCTTGTAAAATTATTTTTTCAATATTATTTTTGCGCAAATATAGTTTCTTTACTTTAAAAAATTTCATTGAACCCAAGAGAACAATTTTTTTTCCATAGTTATGATATTTCCTTTTTGAAATTACATCGCAGTCTCTAATAAAGTCATTATGGAAAGTATGAACGGATTTATCCTCGTAATTAGAAATTGAACTGTCTAACACCAATGTTTCAACAGCCGAAAAATCAGTGAAATTTAAATTTCCAAATGGAAATACATTTCCGGTTAAATTAACGAAATTCAAATTTGGTAAACTATCAAATGCGCCGTTTTTGATTTCCCAAATATTATTTTTTGATAAATCAAGTTGTGTTACTGTAGAACTGTTCAAAAAATTATTTTTCAACCGTGTTATTCCCATGTTTGATAAATCAACCATTTTTACGCATCCATTCTCACTCGAAGGTTCATTTTCATTTGACAAGTATTCTAATTTGCAATGTACTGACACAATTAAACATAATACACAATACAACACAATTAAAAGTGATACTTTACGAGACATTTTTGCAAAAATTCTATTAAGCAATTGTTTCTTTGTCAGTTCTTTTAATCAACTGAACGTGCTCGAGCCATCATAGCTGCTTTTTTACACAAAGAATGATATCATCAAGCTGACTAATTCTTTTCCTACAAATACATATTGTAGTACATCAAAAAATAAAAAAAAAAACATACTGATACCTTCAACGATGTTTTTAAAAAAAAAATTTATAGAATTATTCTTTAAACAATTCTGCGTAGGAGTTGAAGATAAACATATCAAAACTAGTATGATAAATCATATTTTTTTACTTCAATCATTAAAAATAGAATAAAATAAAAACATGATATGCTACTAAATTAAAAATACTCGTTTATTGTCTCTGCTTCCTTCGCCGTTACAATATTGGCCTAAAATATTTCATTAAAAATAAAAATGTTAAATAAACAAATTATCATAAAAAATAATATCATAAAGCAATAAAATTTTATTAATTAGTTATGAGTTACATTACATCCGTCGATAAAATTACAAAAGTTTCATAAACAATAAACAGTTTTCTGATTAAAATTTTAATGGAGCCAAATATTAGCCGTAAAGACTAGGACAATGACGTTGACAAGTTTCACAATAAGAAGGAGACATCAAATCCGGTTGCAATTGCATCGGAGCGCTAGCAATTTTTCCAATATCTACGGTCGTATTTTCCGGCAAAGTCGTCAAAATTTTGATATCTATCAAAGTCAGCGGATTATCACCAATATTGATGTACTGCAGATTCTTGCTTTTGCTCAAAGACAAGCTTGCCAGATTCTTGAACATATTGTTATTCAAATGTAACCTCCTTAGACTCAGCTCCGGGGACAGCCACTCATCCGGCAAAGAAACAAATGCATTTTTGGAAAGATCCAGCTCTTCCAAAGCCACCAACTCATCAAACGCCCCAACCGAAATCTCCTGGAGAGCATTTCCACTCAAATTTAGCACCTTCAACTTTGACAGGCCACAAAAAGTCGATTTACTGATCGCCCGGATTTTATTATTCGCCACCGAGAGATGTTCCAAATTTTCCAGGCTGCAAATATCTGGCAGAGTTACAAGCTGATTATCATCCAGCTTGAGTGTCGTTAAATTTGTCAAGTTATCGAATGTATGTTTCACTATTTTGTGAAGCTGGTTTCCAGAAACATCAAGCTTTTTCAAATTTTGCAAGTTGTCAAAAGCATCTGATTCGATTTCTTGAAGACCGCTTTTTGAAACTGAGAGATTTTCCAAATTCACGGCAGTTTTGAGTGTCAATCCTAGACAATATTCGTAACTGTTGCACAATCTTCCGATTTGATTTCCATCTAGCGTCAAAGTTTTCAAATTTTTCAGGGATTCCACCTCAAAATTTGTTGCTAAATTGTAGTCTAAGAATAGATGAGTGAGCGTTGCCGGAAGATAGTCGATGAAACGGATCGAATCGATGCTGTTTTCGGAGAGGTAAATGTGAGTAACATTCGGCATGATTTCGGTGAGCGGTGGGCCCATTCCTAAATCGATCGACTGGATATTATTTTGACGGAGGTAGAGTTTTTTTAATTTGGGCAGCTTCACTGAAATTGACAGCGTGAAAAGGTTCTGGACATTAAGACTCTGGTCTCTGTAATTTCTGACTCTGCTGCAATCATCATTCGAGCCGTAGTACTCCAAATTATTGTGCTGATTTATAGCGCGGTCCAAAATCAACGTTTCAATGGAGGACTCCCCACCGAAATTCAATTCCTCCAGAGGAAATAAATTCCCGGTTAAATTGAGGTAAACTAAGTTCGGCAGGTAATCAAAGGCTCCCTCGTCTATTTTCCAAATGTTGTTGTCCGTCAAATAGAGGTGTGTTATTAGCGAGCTGTTGACAAAAGATTTTTTTAATCGCATTACTCCGGTGTTTGATAGATCCAATACTGTTTTCGATTCGTTATTGCTTTCATTTTCCGGCCACTGCAGTTCCGCTGTTACACAACACGAAATACAAAGAAGTAAAAATGTCAAGAGCATTTTTGAATTTTATATTGTTAAAGTAAAGTACTGTACTGTGTATGTACGGATCGCGAGTTCTTTCGCAAACTGAATAAAAAACGGCGATTTGAAAGCTTTTTATAACCAGATACCGCAATCTGTCGGAGATTTTTTCGCTTAGAATAACATTACCGTCCGGGTTATGGGGAAAAATATAAAAAAATTATGATAATAGATATATATATATTTTGATATTGATATCTTGACAGCAGTCCTTTTATAAATGAAGAAAAATATTTATCGAGTTGGTATCAACCCGCGTAGGTGTCGATAAATATATCGTCTAGCCCTTCGTATAATAATGTCGTATCATATCATTTTTCTCAGAATTTAAATTGATAATAAAAGAGTTAGAGTATTATATTTGATTCTTTATCATTTATACTCCCATAAATTAGATTATTTATTTTTTTACACCCCCACAAAAAATAAAAAATTTACATATTTAACGTATTTAAAAACAGGAAAAAATTATATCAATTTTTATTTCTTTCTGGTGTTCAAAAATTGAAAGTACACTTAAAAAATTATTTATATATATTTTTTCTAGGAATGAGAATTTTAGGAAAAGTAATTTATTAAATATCACTTTAATATTTTTATATCATCTTCGAAATTTACAGTTATAAATATACATGAATATAATTAAAATTACAATTGTAAAAGAAATACTAAGCCATTTCTACAGTCGCATTTTCTGGCAAAGATTTCAAAGATTTAATGTGAATTAATTTTATTTGATTATGTTCAATATGAATATACTTCAAATTCTTCGCTGAGTCTAACGATAAATTCGAAAACTGAACAAACTTGTTATCATTGACGTACAAATACTGTAAATTCATTTTAGCCGGGATCCAGTTTTGAGGCAAAGCCGTAAGCATATTCTTCGAAAGGTCCAATTTCTCCAAAGCGAACATATTGTTGAATGTGTCAGAGCCAATTGTTCTCAAGCCGTTGTTACTGAGGGTTAGTTTTTTCAAATTAGGTAATCCGCAGAAGCTGCTCGAGCTTAAAAAAGATATTTTGTTAGAAGAAAGAGATAGAACTTGCAATTTTTTGAGAGCGCAAATGTTAGGTACAACTCTCAACAGGTTATGGTCCAGGTCCAAAGTCGTCAAATTCTTCAAACTGTTAAACGGATTGTTCAAAAAATCTGAGAATTTATTGTAACTCAAATTAAGGTACTGCAGATTTTGTGAATCGTCAAAAGCGTGAAGTGAAATCGTGGAAATGTCCGAATTGGAAACAGACAATTCTTCTAATTTAACGAAATTTTTTAAACACAGTCCTCCGTTAGTCACCTTTGTATCGGATAATTGTTTGAAACCATTTTTGTCAATCGACAGAACTTTGATGTTGTTTTTGTTGGAACTTTCAAAGTGTGAAATTTTGTTATTTTCTAAATACAAATGTGTCAAAGTCTGCGGAATTTTATCCAAGAAATTCAATGAGCTGAGTGAATTTTCGCTGAGATAAAGATGCGCAATGTTCGGCATAACTTCACTTAATGCCACCACGTCACTCAATAGTATAAAGTTAATAATATGATTTCCGCACAAATATAAATTCTTCAATTTTGGGAATATTGTCGACTTGCTAAGCTGGATTTTGTTGTCGTTCTCCCAGTTAGAATACGCGAATCCATGGTCCAAGACCAAAGTTTCCAGAGCTGATTGATAAGCAAAATCGAATTTTCCAAACGGAATTTTGTTGTGCGACAAATTCAAATAAACCAAATGCGGCAGCCCTTTGAATGCTTTACTCTCAATTTCAAGGATATCATTGCCCATTAAATTAACATTCTCAATAAAAGAACTGTTCACGAAATAGTTTTTCAAGTGCTTCAGACCGGATTGTGCTAGGTCCAATGTTGCCCAATCAGCCAAACGGTTTTGAGATTGTACTTCGCTGCGAACTATGACACAGCACAGAAACAAAACTGCCCAACGCGTTGCCATTTTTAAAGATTTACAATTTTTGGTTTGAATAATTTGCGACTGATTGTAGAGAAGTTATTGTGCAAACTGAGCTAGTGAAGAACGATTGGGTTGATATAGTACATGAGATATGTTTTCTTCAATATAACTTGGATAGATAGCACCGATAAGATTTTAGAGTATCTTGAGAGGAGTATAGTGTTGTTTTGTGTCAACTAGATTGTCGAAGTGGCAAGCGATATTGGATCTGGATTATGGAAGATTAAACATATCGAAGTTTAAATTCGTGGGATATTTTTACTGATTAAAATTTATAGAGCGGAAATTTGGGACAAGATTGATTTTATCTTCTTATAAATATTTTTTTAGAACACTTTCAATCAAGATTATCAGATTTTGAGATTGTTGAATAGTACTTACCGTTTTTTTAGCTTTATTATTTTTCGTGAAGAAATTCCATTCTTTATTTTATTGGTTTTAATAATAAATTAAAAACTAATTTATTTATGTTACACATATGTCAAAACATAATTGAGTAATAGTTATTGATTATAATTTGGTTAGTAAATATTTTTCTAGAAATATAAATTACAATTTAAAAAAAACAGCGACAAAAAAAATTAAATATATTTTTAAATAATTCATTAATAAAAAAATTCACTTACATTGTCTTGAATAAAACGGAAGATTTTTAGATCAAAGAAAAATTTCTAATTTAATTTTTTTTGGCTCGAAAAAATTTCTTTTAGATAAGTTAATTTTTTATCAGTGTACTATCTTCCAAATTAATGAATAATTAATTAACAATGAATTATTTTTTTTATTTATTTTATCATAAAAATTATAAATTTTTATTTTAACACTTAATTATACAAAGTTTACAAAAATATAAAACGACTATAATATAATAATAAAATGAATACAAAAAAAAATAAATGCAAGTACAATGATTAATCAAATGATAAAAAGTTATCAAATCAATAGAAATTGTTACAGAGGGCATTATAATGAAATAGCAGCATAAATATAAAAATGAAAATATATAAATGAAAATGAAAACGAAAATGATAAATGAAATAATGAGCTCGGAATAGATAAAGACGATTTTCCCGCCCCTATATGTCCGATATCCACTATAGTATTTCCCGGAAAATCTTTGAGATTTATCGACTTGAAGGGATTCCCGCTGATGAACAAATACTCAAGAACTGTGTTTTTAGATAGCGACAAACTCGCGACACTTTTAAAAAAATTATCGTTCAAATACAAGTACTGTAGATTCAATTCCGGAGAAATCCAATCATCGGGTAGAGCTTCAAGCATGTTTCCTGAAAGATCCAATACTTTCAGAGCAAGTAAACTGTTGAATGCTTCTGCATCTAATTCACTGATCAAATTATTACTCAGATTGAGTTTGGTAATATTTGAAAGCCCGCAAAAGCTAATTTTTCCTATTGCCTTGATTTTGTTGGACTGCAGAGACAGAATTTCCAAATTTTTAAGCCCGCAAATATCGGGAAAATTCATCAGTTTGTTGTGATCGAGATTTAGTTGAATCAAAGCCTCCAAATCATCAAAAGCGTGCTTCACAATTTTGATAATGTAGTTGTAAGATAGATTCAAATGCTTCAAACTATTCAAATCCTTGAACGCATCCGCTTCAATTTCTTCAAGCCCGTTGTTTGAAATCGAAAAAAATTCCAAATTCTCTGCACCTTGCAATGACATTCCTACACAGTATTGATAGCCACCGCACAAATTCTTAATGTTATTCCCATCTACGGTCAGAAATCGTAAGTTGAACAAAGAACTGCTTTTGAACTCTGACATTTTGTTGTTATTCAAGTATAAATGTGTCAAAGATGGCGTAAAAGGTTTTGCAAAATCTAGCGACGTAAGTTTGTTGTCATCCAAATAGAGACGGATAATTTTCGGCATTATTTTACCCAAATAATCGACATTTTTTAGCACTATCGATTCGATGTTGTTTTTTCTCAAGTGCAACTCTTTCAAATTTTCAAATTTCGAGTCACTTGTAAGCTCAATAACATTGGAACTACTCGAACTTCGTTTTCTGAAACCACTAGCTTGACAGCTTTCATAATTGAAATCAAAAATGGAAAAACTATGCTCGTCATTTCTGATTGCTTGGTCCAAAATAAGCGTTTCAATTTTATCGCCGAAAATCAACTCACTGAAATTAATTAAATTACCGGTCAAATCTACGTGCACTAAATTTGGTAACCCGTCAAAAGCACCGTCTTCTACCTTCCAAATGTTATTGTCATTCAAATAGATGTGAGTTATACTAGAACTGTTGATAAAACTTTTTCTCAAACGCACTATTCCCGCTTGAGATAAATCCAGAGCTGTGTTATCGTTATTGCTTGCAACAATTTCTTGACAATTTGAAACAGAACTCGTTACTATTTCCATATCTGGCAAAAAAACCTGACCTTGCACCAAACTGAGACACAAAATTCTCAAAAACAAACTAAACTGGAACATTTTTATTCTTTGTTTTTCTAACACAAAAAAAAAGAATTTGAATAATAAATTTCGAGTGTATTCAAGCGACTTACTCTCGTCAACTGATTGAATATACTGATGCTGATTCGCTGATGTATCACACATGACTAAGAATTTATGGTGGTAGTTAGTATGTGTGCAATCACATAAACACTACAAAGTACTGTACATCCATACAACTTCACTATGCAATGCTCATATATAAAATAAAAAAGAAATTTGATGCTGAGCCTTCAACTTCTCTCGACTCAACTCTATATATTATGACTTATGACTAAACAGCTCAGCATTATTTTTTTTTCTTTTAATAAACATAAACTTATCGCGAGTCGCATTACAGCATGAATCGAAAATACTGTGACTTGGATTATTGTGAATATTATGAGGCTGCTTTAAAAAGATAAATTTTAATAATTAAATATTTTACAATTATATATTGACATACATCTTATAAAATGAACTGAAAAAAAAAATTTCATGGATTTTCAAAGAAAATTTTACTTTGTCAAAAGTTTGTCAATAACAGGTTAATAAAAAATTGTCAATACTTTGTCAAAAGCTTCATTTTCTCTATAATATAAGATATACTTCGTTGATGTTTCTGACGCTATATATATCTGAATTTTTATCCAAACCATTTTCCAATCTGCAAAATAGTTGAACCAAAATTTTTCTCCAAAAATTGAGATCAACTGAAGAGAAAAATATTGAGCCACCTAACATCTTTCTTGAAAATATTTTTTTAAATGAATCATCTGTCTCTGACTGATGATGATTTCAGTAATACACATGATAACGCTTTCTTCACACCTGTTCAAGCATTTCAAAATTGCTTGACTTAACAAGTGACGACTTAATGCGTGACATGATGCAATATGAAATCATTAACATCACAATAGCGTTATCAAAAAATTCTATTATTAAATTATTATCAATTTAAAATAACAAAATTTGAAAATTTATTACTGACGAATATTAAAAGCATTGCATTAATTTATTTTAGCTAATTTCTATCAACTATACATAAATAATTCGACAAAAATTGTCTTTTTGAAATTCTAAGACTTACAAGGGATAAATAAATTTAAAAATTCCCTCCACTTTTTGGCGAGACATTTAGCATTTAAGAAACAAGATATTGTCATGGGTTCCGGCGTCGGAGCAGGATCAAATTGGTAACTTGAAAAAACATCAACACATTCTTTATAATCGCTTGAATTCATATTAGGCATTTTAAGATTATGACCTTTAAAGGCGTTTTCTATTTTGTCGTTGAGTCCAATTGGAGGGCTTGAAACGTACTTGATAAACACCCACGCAGATTCGACACTGCAAAAAATATTCAAAAATAAGCTTTTTTCCTTCCACAAACTTGACACTTGTCGCATCACTGAGAAGCATACTAACCGTTTAGTTCCGTGCATTTGGCAAGAATATAATATAACATAGTCTCTTTCTATTGTAAGTAAAGTTACATTCTTGTATATAGAACCAAAAAGCGGAACATGGCTTACAAGAACTCCATTATCCTTGTTTTTAACAATTACGTCGGTTACAACTGTCGAAGTTATGCTGATGCTAGATCAACAATGAGAATTAGTTGGAAGTAAATAATAAAAATAAAGCTCAAAATTACCTAGTTATGTAAGATTTACTGATGAGTTTGAATTTACCAACGGGATATTCTTCTAACTTTACTTTTATGCATCTTTCGTCTTTGCTTCGCACATTGAGACTACTTTCGTACAGGTACCACTCTCCACACATCTATTTAAGTGATTAAATGGATTAATTGAACAAAATGAAGCTTAGTTTAAAGGATAAGATTGTTTAATGTCACTTACCGCTGATAAATTCCACAGTGGAAAATCTACGAAAGGACATTTTGAAGTTTTAGAAGGTTGATGGCCGGAGGAAGGAGATTTAGGATGGTGGTGGCTGGAGGAAGTATTTTTAGGAGGTTGGATGCTGGAGAAAGTAGGTGCTGAAGGTTTGCTGGTGGAGGAAGAAGGATCAGAAGGTTTAATGATGGATGACAAAGGTTCAGAAGGGTTAATATTAGAAGAAATAGGTTCAGAAGGTTTAATATCGGAGGAAATAGGTTTAGAAGGTTTAGTGTTGGAGGAATTAGATACAGCAGATTTAATGTTGGCGAAAGAAGGTTTAGGACGTTTAATTTTGGAGGGAGAAGGTTTAGAAGGTTTAATGTTGGATGATAAAGGTTCAGAAGGCTTAATATTAGAGAAAGAAGGATCAAGAGGTTTAATATTGGAGGAAGAAGGTTCAGAAGGTTTAATGCTGGAGGTAGAAGGAATTTCAGAAGGTTGAAGGCTGGAGGAAGGAAGTTTAGGAGGCTGATGGTTAGAAGGAGTTTTATGATGCTTATGAGATAGAGAAGATCCAAAAGATCCTAGTTCTGCACTCTGAGCTAAAACAATAGCGATTATACAAAACAATATGGGAACACTGAACATATTTATAGCGTTTCTTTCTCAAAACTTATCACAAGACTGATCTTTTTGCAATGACTTTACAACTATATACCTCATTTTCTACACCTGATTGAGTTTCTTTAAACTGATTGTTTTGTTGATATAACGGATTTTAACAAAACGTCGATGGTAATGTTTGAACATTATAATTCACATGATGACATACTTTTATACCAAGTTCTTTACCAATTTCGAAATTTTCATTGTTATGCGTCGTTTTTATGACACACTTAATCAGAGTTTCAACTAATTTAGAAACACAAAATTTTATTTAAATTTATCAAAAGACTAAACTTTATACTTTAATATCACTTACTTAAACTTTAATAGATTATATTCTTAAATCACCTGTTTAAGTATTTATGAATTGATTGAATCATCAATAAAAGGCAGTGAATGACATCGGAATCAATATTTGAACATCAGTATCTGCTGATTCATTGCAGATATTCTCGATTAACTGAAGCAATCTTTTTTAAATTAAGATTTATATTATTTTTTTTCTGTTTGAATTTGGCGAATTTATTTTTTTCTCATGTTTTTTCATTAAATAACTTTTAAATAATAAAATAACCTGATAAATGCTGATGAAATAAGTTTAAAGTAAAATTTTTTACTTACTATTTTACATTAATTTTTACCCCTGCCTTTAATAACAGTCTGAAATTTAACGCACGGAAATTTCTGTTCCAAAACTAAAACATGACCATTTGAAATTTTTTCAATTCTCATTTTTGAATAATATATGAAGCTGTGTTTAAACAATCTTTAACAAATATTTTATAACAATTTATACAACTTTATAAAATGAAAATTTGAAATTAGTAGGTTGCAAAAATCTGACGACACTCTTCTAAATTATGTGTGTACATTTCCGGGACTTGAAGTCCAAATTTGGCATAAGATCTTCGTATTTTTTCATCAATTTCCGCTGAAGGAGTTCTTGGAGTCGCTGTGTACACCCAACCGGATTCAATACTGAAAAGCGTATCAAATAATCACTTAATTTTTCAAATTCTGCAAGCGTGATTAATAAATAAGTGAAACACTTACTGTTGAAATCCGCGATCTTCGCAAGACCACACTATGACATGTTCCTTGTCGATGGAAAGAACTCGGAAATGGGTGTTTTTTGGTCCGACATGCGGAATGATGCTGGTAAAATATGTGTTGTCATCATTTAAGTACAAGTCGCCAAACGTCGTCATAGTTGAGTTGATGCTACATCAAAAATTAATTATTCCAAACAAAATAATCAAGTATAATTTTGAAAGAAAAACAAAAATTTACCTATCCACATGAAATTTATTGAGTACTTTGTATACACCTTTTTGTGGTTCGTACATCATCGATTTGATACACCTCTCATCGTTGTTTCTTATATGGGGACTACGTTTGTACTCATACCATCCGAGATACTGCAAAATAGTTCAAAAATGGCAATTTTAATTGTAATTTATCAGTTACATTAAAATTTTTGGTAATTATTTACAAGTGGGGTCAACCCATACTAGGCCATGTTAGATTTTTTTTTTTCATCAAATTGATCAATTTTTTTTTTTTTTTTCAAACTGTTCGTTTTTTTATATACTTTTCAAAAAAAATATATCAAAAAAAGATATAATAGAAATTTTATCCAAAAACATGAAAGCCAAAATTTTTTTCAACTTTTAATGGCAAAAAAGTTATCGAAATCTTTATTTTTTCCTTTCACGTCATTTTTTATCATAAATGCGCCGTAAAAACAAGCAGAATAAAAAAAAATAAAAAATGTTAATTTTTCACCTAGTTATCGCCCAAAATGGGGTTGACCCCACTTGTAAATAATTACCAAAATTTTAAAATGTTACGTACAGCAGTTGGATTGTAGGACACAGGCCGTATGTAAGGACATGGTCCCTGTTTCAATTCTTGTGCTAGAACACCAATCAGCAAAAAAACCAACACCGAAACACACAGCATTCTTTCAGAAATTTTTACAAACAATTCGAAAATAACTACGTACTCCGTTTCCACATATTTATACCGTAATATAATACTTAATAATAAACATCTGTTTATTATTTCTAAACTATGTATTTAGTGATAAACGACCACTTGAGATATCTACCAATATTTGAACAATCAGATTTCCAGATTTTCATTGTTTGAGTTTCTTATTGTGTCGCTTTTGATAGAAACCGCTCAATTCGCTTACAATTAATATTACTGGACAATCATTAATATTGTCATTGTTTTATTTAAATTGTAACATTGATGAAAATGTTAGCTTACATTTATTAAGCAATTAACTTTCTTCAGGAGAAAAAATTTTTAATAAAGAACATCTTGAAAAATTTTTATATTTTTAATCAAAAGTTTTCAAGAATCAAAAACAATTTCTTGAAGAATTTTTCTTGATTAAAAATGACCAACTCTGCAAAATTATGTTTTTGCTTCAAGATTTCTTCTTGAAAGTCTTCTTGAAAGAAATAGCTAAAAATATTAAAAAATCGGTAAAAATATCAATTTTTTTTTTCTGTGTACTTACATTGTGTAAGTCAAATTTGGCAGATTTGACCACAGGGCACTGTCCAGTTTTTGGATCCTGAGCTAAAACACCAGCAATGTAAACAGAACAATATAAAAACACACAATATCTATCTTCAGATTATTCAGTGAGACTCACCAAAAAACTGAACTTTGTATGATGATACTAGTAATTTTTAGCTGGAAGTCTTTTCTTACTTGTTTAAATGTTTTCAATATTTGGTTTATTGATCTACGTCGATTTTTAATAAAACATTAATGTTAATATTTGAGCATCAATATTTGCAATATATGAAATTTTTCGGTATAAAGTTCATGATAACATAACAAAATATGATTGTGAAATCGTAAGTCGCTTTATTTTTAAAAAAAAACAGTCGTTGAATTATTGAAAAAATAAAATTTATATCTTATGAAACTTAATGATTATGAATAGCAGAGAGAAAAAAAGGTTTACTCGAACCAAAAAAATTTTTTTGGAAATCCTAATTGGTTTTAAAGCAAGAAAAAATGTTATTAATTTAATAAAATTTGACTTTAGTCGAAGTTAATTTATTTTTCATTTGAAATACAAGAAAAATGTGATTAATCCAAATTAAATTATAGTCAAAGATTGGTCGTTACTTCGCAAACATCATAATCAAACAAATGTCTGCAGCACTTTTCATTATCAGATTTAACCATATGTGGCATTTGAAGACCGTTTTTTTTTTTAACGCACCTCGAATTTTCTTGTCAATGTTTAATTTAAGTCACACGGCGGATTGGGTTCTCGAGTGTAAACGAAAAACATAGGAACCCTGAGAAATTTCATTAATTAATTAATTAATTAATTGATGATCATCTACAATTTAATAATAATTAAAAGTAAACTTACTTATTTGGATTATTTCTTTGACAGGACCTAATCCCAAAATCTAAATAGTCAAAAATATACAAAGTGAACGCTTTCGGTCGGAAAAATCTTTAAAATTAAATTACCTTGGAACAAACATTTTACTCTTAATTGACATTCTTTCTTCGCCTTTCTTACCCCACAAGGCTTCGAAGCATCTATCATCGTTACCCCGTTCGATGTTCGAGCTGTGCATATACTCATACCATTCTCCAGTTATCTGAAAATAATTTCCTCCTCTATTCTAGAACCACAAATTAAAATAATAAGTCATGTCTTACCTTACTTAAATCAGGAACTACTGCAGTCGCATTAGGACAAGAATTTTTTATTAATTCCTGAGAAAAAACTCCGCTAAGTACGCAACAAAGAATAATTAAACCGAAAATTTTTATGAAATTGATCTTTCGGATATTTTTTAAAAATTGCTTTTCTTTAAGTACACCGTTTGGACAGGTGAAAACCTGTCCAAACGGATTAATCCGAAGTTCAATATGTATTTCAGTAAAAACAATGGATTCGATTTCTCAGTCTTATCAAAAATGACAGGTTGTGCTGACAGGTGTATGCAAAAATTAACGCATATCATTTAATTCAGAATTTATATCAATTTATTGAATATTTATTAAAATTAAAAGTATTAAGTTATTGATAACATAAAAATTCATTTCATCACTTAATTTTTCTCAAATAAAGGTCTTAATTAAATTAACATTTTTTTACAAAAACCTAAATTTTTATTTTAATAATTTTACATTCAAATTTTTTCTTCATGCTCATAAAATTATTAACACAGCTTTTTAGATTTTGAAAAAATTATAGTGGAAAAATATGATCAAAGGAATTAGACTATAAAGTACACAAGTGATAATAAAAATTTTTTTTCACCCAATGAATTTATAGAGTAACATTTTATTTATTTGAGAGATTATAAAAAACTGATCAATGTGAGTTTATAATAATTAAAAATAATAGTTATAAAAAAATATTGATAATTTTAACCATAGCGATTTGAACAATACTGCTGACAAGTGTTGCCATGCGAAGAAGATCCCATTTCAAGTTGCTGATGGCCCATTCCTTCCATGTTGATGATAGCATCTTCCGAAAGAGCTCTCAAACCGCTCAAACTCACCAACTTAAATGGATTGTTCCCAATATTCAAGAACATCAAATTTCCAGCCTCTGTCAGTCCTAAATCCGAAATATTTGAAAAGGAATTTTTTTGCAAGTACAAAGACTGCAAGCTAAATAGCGGTAGTATCCAATATTCGGGTAAAATCTTGAGCTTGTTTCCAGAGAGATCCAATGATTCTAACGAAGATAAATTATCGAAGAATTTCGATTTAATTTCGGTGATTTCATTGTAGCTCAAATTCAATTTTCTAAGATTGGACAATCCAAAAAAAGGCCAGTCTTCTAATAAAGAGATGTTATTATGTGAAATTGAAAAATTCTCCAAATTTTTGATCGCGCCAATGTTAGGAACGGATTTAAGTTGGTTAAAGTCTAGTTTTAAGATCATTAAGCTTGATAAGTTGTCAAAAGTCTCGTTAAAAAATGTTTCAATTTTATTATGAGACATGTCTAAGTACAAAAGTTTACCCAGATCTGCAAATGAGTCAGCTTCGATTTTCGTTAGCATCATTGAAGAAATTGACAGAATTTTCAAATTCACTGCACTTTTCAAGGTCATTCCTTGACAGTAACCAAAATTTCCGCAGAGATTTTTTATTGGATTCCCATCGAGAGTTAACACGATTAAATTTTTCAGAAAGCCGCTTTCGAATTGTGAGATGCCGTTGCTGTTCAAATACAAATAACTCAACGACGTCGGGAGAATTTTCATGAAACTTACGGATGAGAGCCGATTTTCGTTGAGGTACAGGTGAGTCAAACTTGGCATTATATCTTTTAACGTTAATGAATCTTCTGTATATACAGACATTATATTATTCCGTCGAAGGTACAATTTTTTGAGATTTGGCAAATAATTAGTTCGATTTAAAGATAGAACATATGAATCACTTGATTTTCTTTCTCTGTATCTCATTACTTTTTCATAATCATTGTAATTGTAATAGCCATAAGAATCATCAGGTTTGTAAAGAGCTGCGTCAAGAACCAATGTTTCAATGCTCAAATTTTCTCCCAATTCTTCAAAATAAAAAATATTTTCCGACAGATCCAAATACGCCAAATTCAGTAAATCATCAAACGCACCTTTTTCGATCTTAAAAATGTCGTTGTTTTTCAGAAAAACATGAGTAATAACTGAACTCTTTACAAAAGACCTTTTTAAGTACTTTATACCCGCATTTGAAAGATTTAATACATTTTCACTGCTGACATTTGTGTTGAAATTAGGGTCTGTTGAAAAATAATCTACTTCACAGCTTATTGAAACACACAATGCAACGAAAAATACTAAAAACTTTAACATTTTTTTAAATAAAATTTTCTTACGTTAAATAATATTTAGTAATGAAGTACTCACACTGCAAATGCGTTCTAGTCTGGAACTGAACCCTCCTAGCCTTTTATATTAGTCTGGTGAAGATATCTTCTTTAAATAAAAACAATTTTGTGCAAAGAATGAAAGACTGCTATCGCGTCATAAAAAAAAAAAAAGTAATCACGTATTCGTGGGAATAAGAATAAACACCATAATCGCCAATACCATACTGATAACTGTAATATGTGCTTGAAGTCTAAAACTGATAATGCAAAAAGTATTTATTTAGTCTACTGTCGATAAAAAATTCACAGCCAATTCGTCGACTCTCTCCAATATTTAAACATTGATAAAAACCAAAAATAGCAAAAGCCAACTAAAAGATTCAACAGAATTTTTTCCACTGACCGCAAAGCTATAATCCATTTCCGGAAGCTCCCAGTTATTTTGAGGATCTGCAACTTTTATTATCTTGGTTGTAGTCTCGCCGAATACCTCTGGGTTTATTTCGTCCAAAATATTGCTGCTCATATTCAAATACGCCAATTTTGGCAGTCCGCAGAACATCGACGAATCGATAGCTTTTATTCTGTTGAAGGTTATTGATAAGTACTCGAGATTCTTCAAGCCGCAAGTATCTGGAACAGTGTCCAGGTCGTTGTGATCTAGATGAAGAATCCTCAAACTTGGAAGATTGTCAAAAGTATGATCCAGAATTTGGTAAATTTCATTGTGCGACAGGTCTAAGAAGAGCAAGTTTTCCAAATCTCTAAAAGAATCCACCTGGACATCTTGGAGCTCTATTCTAGACAGGGAAAGAACTTGCAAATTTACGGCACTGTTCAAGGTTAAGCCATCGCAGATAGCTATCTTGCTACCGCACAAATGTTTGATCGGATTTCTGTCAAGCATCAGGAGTTTCAAGTTCCTCAAGAATCTGCTTTTGAACTTAGATATGTTGTTGTTCGTCAAATACAAATGTGTGAGCGTTGAAGGGAGAAATTCTACGAAGTTTGCTGATGAAATACGATTGTTATCCAAATAGAGATACGCTAAACTCGGCATGATTTCTTTTAGAAGCGTAAGATGATCCAACTCTATATCTTTGATATTGTTGTTTCGTAGGTACAAACTCCGAAGTTTCTTCAACTTCATCGAAACACCTGGCTTGAAAGCAACATCTTTCGCGTAACTTCTTTGCCGGTAGTGTTTTATGTCTTCTTTCTCCCGAGATTCTTCACAACAAGTGTATCCCTCAATATTTCCTCTCATTATCGCTCTGTCTAGCACCAAAACCTCGATTTTGCACTCTTCAAAGAAATTTAATTCTTCTAAAGGAATCAAATTGCCGGTCAAGTTCAGATAAATCAAATTGGGAAAACTTTCAAAAGCGCCATCGTCGATTTTCCAAATGTTATTGTTCGTCAAGTAGATGTGCGTTACCAAATAATTGGTCGGAGATTTTTTTAAATGCGTCACTTCCATTTTAGAAAAATTTAAAGTGTATTTCAATTCTTTATCTTCGTCGGTTGTAAGATTGGATGTTACGTCTGTTTGATAACCTAAACGACACATTGATAAGGCAAGAATCGCGCACAATAGGTTATGTCGCAACATTATTGTTAATTTGATTTTATTATAAATATAGAACGAACTCTAACTCTATTTTAAGCGATAAGAAGAAACTTATTGGTTATTATTATAATTATTAACAATACTGAAAGATTATAAATACACTTAAACTTGATTATTTAATAATACTAATTTATTTGTCGCGTAATAACTAACCCGTCATGCGAAGGCTACTCAAGGTTGGAGCTCTCTGGTGTGTGGTGTGTATGTTAGTGCGTATACTGACCGGCTTATGACGCCACTGTGTAGTGTGGGTTCGAATGTGATTAGATATCTTCATTATCGCATTTGTATGGAATTTTTATTCATTTATAATGAATATTCGACGAAAAAAGTTATAATGAATAAAGTAAATTTCTTCAATGAAAAGGAGAATTATTTTATTATTAATAAGATATGTGGCAAAATTGTTTTTATTTTTGAAAATTTTAAATGAGTATAGCACAAATAACATATATTTATACATACCTTCTTCTTAAAATGATCATTTTATCTTCAGGCTATAAATTTAAATTATTGCTAATTATGAATATATAAAATAATAACATAATTAAATACAATTAAAAATTTGAAAAAAATTCAACACAAATAAGAGTTATAAAGATATATAAAATGATTTATTGAAGGAAAAGGATTGAGGAATTTTTATTTGCGAAAATATTGCAGAAAAAAATTACAAAATTGATAAAATAGTAAAAAAAAAAAAATGTAGTTCTTATGATTTCTACATTATTCATAATCATTTGAAATTTCCTCTTGATAATTATGGCAATTAATACAAGATAATCCACAAGATTGGCAGTGACTCTCAGATCCGAGAACTTCTGGCTCAACACACTTCTTGCATTTCTCACATATCTGACACTGGTCACATCCAATCTTCTCGACATCCACCGTCGTATTCTCCGGCAGAGTCTTCAATATTTTAATATTAATCGCCTTCAGAGGGTTACTTCCGATACTAAGAGACTTCAAATTCTCAGCCTTAGTTAACGACATACTAGCGAGACTTGTAAACAAATTATTATGTAGATCCAAGTGCTGCAAATTTGACGTCAAAGGTATCCAGTTGTCAGGCAAGATAACAAGTTTATTACCCGAAAGATCTAATTCCTCTAACTCAACAAAACTACTAAACGCCTCGGAATTTATCTCATCTAAGATATTGTTACTCAAATTTAGTTCTTTTACTTTCGATAAGCAAGACATCGAGTCGTCGATGATTTTGATCTTGTTGTGAGCCAGCGAAAAAGATTCCAAATTTTTCAGACCGCAAACGTCAGGTATACTGTCCAATTTATTGTGGTCCAACCACAGTATCATTAGATTCGTCAAATTGTCAAAAGTATATTTAGCAATGTCTCCGATCTTATTTCGTGACAAATCTAACAACAGCAAATTTCCCAGATCTTCAAACGAATTAGATTCGATGTTTTGAAGTTGAACATTTGACATCAACAATACTTCCAAATTTGTAGCACTTTTCAGAGTGATACCGTCGCAATGTCCGTAAGTACCACACAAATTTTTGATCTTATTGTCACTTATTTCCAAAGTCTTCAGATGGTTCAACGACACACTCTCGAATTTGGATATTACATTGTCACTCAGCAGCAAATCGGTCACAGTTGATGGCAAAAATTTAATGAAACTTACTGAAGAAATTCGATTGTGCTCCAGGATAAGATGAGAAATATTTGGCATTAATTCCTTTAACGATGCAATACTATTTTCATCAATCGATTCAATATTGTTGTTCCTCAAATACAACTTTTTCAAATTCGGCAGCTTCATTTGGCTTTTAAGAATAATTGTATTGCTCTGGCTTAAACTTTTTATTCGGAAATATGTCACTTTGCTGCACAGGTTATTGTTGTTTGAAAAAGCAATATCAGACTTGTAATCGGGGTTCTTAATCGCGTTGTCCAAAACCAACTCTTCAATTTTTGACTCGTTTCCAAAATTCAGTTCATTAAACGGTATTAAATTGCCAGTTAAATTAAGATAAACCAAATTCGGTAAGCTATCAAAAGCACCTTCTTCAATTTCCCAAATGTCATTGTCGGTCAAAAACAGGTGGGTTATTACGGAACTGTTCAAAAAAGACTTCTTTAAACGAGTTAGTCCAGAATTTGAAAAATCTAAAACCGATCCGTCTTTAATTATCAAATTATTGTTAACAGAAGATTTAACGGGATTTAATTTCACCGGAGGTTCCGGAACTCGATCCCAGTGGTCTCTATAATGGTGACCGAAGTCGCAGTGAATTGAAACACACAATGAAATGAGTAAAAATAAGACATTATGTCCAAACATTTTTATATTATGTAACGCAAGATTATTGCTCTTATTAACTTATGACTGGATCCCTCAAAGACTTCCAGCAGACTGACGTTTAACAAGCTTTAAATATGGTTGGTACGATCGAGTCTTCATATTCATGCAATATCATCATCTTTCTTATATTCAAAGAAATTTGATAATAAATTGTATACTATCGCATGAGCATTGATAACTTTTAGTTTATGGTTTCACTTCATATAAACAGTGTTATTAAACACCCACACTTCTTGGTATCAAACAATCGAGTTATTTGATTCTGGGAATCAAAAAGACAAGATTGGAAATATTTTTTTAATTTATTAGCTTTATCATTTTCTAGAAATTAAATAAATTCTTGTCAAATTAAAATTTACTTTTATTGGTATTAAATTAAAATTAATTTATCAATAGTCATATTTTCCGCAAAAATTGAAAATCTTATCAAATTTTTCAATTTCAATGAATTCCTTTCAATATTCAAATATTCTAAACTTGTACCATCGATTACAAAATAATACACACTATAAAAAATAAATTTTATTTCATATCGTAAATGATTCACATAAAATTACTGCAGATAAATTTAATTTATAGTCAAAAAGTTGATCATAATTTTTGCACTTACCTTTTTGAAAAGATTGGACATATTTTTTGGATTTATTAACTTCATTTTTATTATCAATGACATTCTTAGAAAAATAAAGAAAAAAGAAGAGATAAATAATTTTTTTTATAATATTTTATAAAATAATTCTAGTCAAGTACAGTTTTTAATAATGAATATGAAAAAATTAAAATATTTAGGAATTAGATATAATTTTTAATATTCATCAGAATTTCCAAAAGTATTCAATTCCTCCAACGTAGGTAAATAATCGAACGCTGTGGCAGAAATAGGACTTAAATAGTTGTTAGAGAGATCCAACTTCTTAATGTGTGTTAGACCAGAAAAGTCGGGCAGGCTGGATAAATAATTGTTGTTCAAATAAAGAGTTATCAACTTTGATAAATTTTTGAAAGTACCATCTTCAATTTTTTCAATTTTATTACGGGAGATATCCAGATATTGAAGATTTTCCAAGTGATTGAAATCATATTTTTCTATGACTGTTTCTGCAACTGCATACAACCCTAATGATTTAACCGGCATTCTTTCGTGCACAAATTTCAATATTTTGTTGTTATTAAGACACAAATGAGCGATTGACTTCGGCAACTTGTCGAGAAAATCCAGGTATTCAATATCATTGTAACTTAGATCAAGATAAACGAGGTTCGGCACAGTCTCTTCGGTCAATCCGTCGATTTGAGTGATTCTATTATAACGAAGATACAATTCTCTTAGTGTTGGCAGATACAATACTGTTGATACGCCGACACCTGGTTTGGCTCCAATAGATAGCTGCATTTTTCCAAAAGATTCACTAAAATTACGCAGCGCACCGTCCAAGACAAGTCTCCCAAGATTGGTCAAATTCAAATTTAACCAATCGATGGGATTCGCAGTTAAGTCCAAAGAATATAAATTTGGTAATCCAGCAAATAAGCTGCTGTCAACCTTTGAAATTTTGTTATAAGGCGCGTGTATAAATGTTAATTTTGAAGTCTCGTAAAATCTACCGTCCAATGAAGTTATGTTCTTATTTGCAAAGTCAAATGCAATTGCGGGACCGTTCGACGCAGTTGAAACACTCGACAAAATCAAAAAAAGAAATGCACTTTTTAAAATCATTTTTAATTTTTAAAATTAAACTTTATGATTTTTATTAATATAGAAGTGTGTATGACGGCTGAATAAAACTTAGTGACTACCGAAAAAATTATTCAACATCTTTTATATGTACCACCAACAGAAGCCTGAATTTTTTCCCTCATAAATAAGATTATTATTTGATAGTCTTCAAATATATCTTTAGAAAACTCCAAATCGATGGTCTTTAAACAGAGCACGAATAAATATAAAAAAAAATGAGTGATTTAACTTGTTTACAAATAGAAGACATCTAGTGAACTAATATGATATTATTTGGCCTTGTGTGACCCTAAACTTCCCGAATTTTTAGGTTTTTGTTGATCTAAAACACCCGCACTTCTTGACGTCAAAACAGTTAAACAGTCGAGTTATTATATTCTAAAAATTATAATGATAAGATTGGGAATATTTTTTGAATTTATTAACTTTATCATTTAATAAAAATCAAACAAATTCTTATCAAATTAAAATTTACTTTATATTGCTATTAAATTTAAATTCATTTAAATCACAACAATTATTAGACTTTATTTACTGGTTTTCCAAAATCAATTGTAATATTTTCCGCAAAAGTTGACAAGCTGTTCAAATTTCTCAATTTCAATAAATTCCCTCCAATATTCAAATATTCTAAACTTGTAACACCAATTATTGACAAGTTATCAAAATCTTCAAATAGATTATTATGCAAGTACAAAACTCTCAAATTTATTTTTGGAATCCAGTTCTTGGGCAAAACTTTAAAAGAATTTCCAGAAAGGTTTAATTCTTTCAACGAAATCAACCCATTAAACGTTTCAGAAGAAATTGAACTGATATAATTATTATTCAACGCTAATTTTTCAAGTTTTAGAAGTCCAAAAAAAGATTGATTAATATCACGAATTTGATTATGACTTACAGACAAATATTCCAAACTTTTCAAGCCGCTGCTATTAAACACACTTGATAAATTGTTATAATCCAAATTAAGTGTGATTAAATTCGTCAAGTTCTCAAATGTATGATCCAAAATTTGATTGATATTATTATGAGACAAATCCAGTACTTGCAAATTCACCAATTTAGAAAACGAGCTCAGTTTAACTGTATAAAAATGAGAGCCGTCTTCTGACATGTTAAAAGGCTGTGATGAGTAAGAAATTTCCGAAAAATTATTTTTATTAAGATATAAATGAGTTAAAGATGTCGGAAGCACGTGGATGAAATCCGCTTCTGAAATATTATTATCGCTGAGATGAAGATGAGTGAGACTCGGCAATCTTTCTTTGGCCAATCCGAATATTTTGACTATATTATTTTCACGAAGATACAATTTTTTGAGTCGGGGCATCAGTAATAAAAGTTCCACAGAATTTTGATGATTGGGCGGATACTTCCTGTAGTATTTAGCCATTCGGCAGTCGTCAGTAGAATAAAAATCCCGCGGACCAAAAATCCGCAAAGTTTTGTCTAAAACAAGTGTTTCAAGATTTTTATGTTTCACTTGCCAAAAAGAAAAAGAAAATAAATTTCCGGTCAAGTTTAAATAAAATAAATTTGGCAAGCCGTCAAATGCTTTGTTTTCGATTTCCAAAATATTGTTTTTAGATAGATAAACATGAGTTACAATTGAACTGTTGACAAAAAAATTATTTACACGGAGTATTCCTAGCTTTGAAAAATCCATGACAGTTTTTGCGTCTTCTGAATTATTTATTTCACAAAATGCTGTAGCGCAAAAAAATATTGAAAATAACACACTGTAGTAAAACATTCTCGTTTAGTTAAAAAATATTTTTTTTTAATTTATAAAAAATAATTATTTAGTAGTTTATTCAGAAACTGATTAAAAAATGAATGAGACTTTATAATAAGTCGGGAGTTGATATTTTTATGAGTTTTATAAGACTTATTTACTTCTTTAACTACTACAAAAAATATATATAGCTTTGTGGGTAACCAAATGATAACAATAAAGTCATTTACAGTGATAAATAGTATAATTTCCGGTACTCGATCAAAAATAAAAAAAAATACACCACTCTATTATAAAATAATATACGATACAAAATAAATTTTATTTGATTTCATAAGCAATTCAGAAAAATCATTGCAGATAAATTTTATTATAAATAAAATTCTTAAAAATAAAAAGAAAAAAAAAAGAGAAAAATAATTTTTTACAATATTTAAAAAACAATTCTAGTAAAGTACAAGTTTTAATTATCAATATCGACGGTCTAATTAGCAATTGGTCTAATTCCTTATTTTTTAGGGGGTGATTTTTTAACATTTTGATGTAGTAATAGTCTAATTATAAATTATTTTAATGATCTAAACTAAAATATTATACCTTTATTAGATATTAAATTATTTTTTAGAGTGATAATATATTTTGAACTAATTTTTTTTTCCGTACAAATGGAGGATTCTCTAAAATGGAGTTAGACAATTTGCTCATTAGAACGTCGATATGAAAAAAATAAAACATTTAAAAAATTGTATATAATTTTTAGCACACGTTAAAAATGGATCAAATTTTAATATTAACAGTCTTAACTGGTATATTCCATATCTGATTCCTTAAGATCCATAGCTTCAGGATTTCCAAAAATCTTCAAATCCTTCAACGAAGATAAGTAATTGAACATTGGAGGGAAAATACCCTTAATATTGTTGTACGAGAGATCCAACTCCACAATTTGTGTTAAACCAGAAAAGTCAGGCACGCTGAATAAAGAATTGTTGTTCAAACGAAAAGATATCAACTTTGATGAATTTTTAAAAGTATGATCTTCAATTACTTCAATTTTATTATGAGACATATCCAAATATTTAAGATTTTCCAAGTGATTGAAATCATATTTTTCTGTGACCATTTTTGCAACTGCGCACCACCCTGATGATTCAATCCGTGATCTCTTGTGCACAAAATTGGATATTTTGTTGTTATCAAGATACAAATGAGTGATTGACTTCGGCAACTTGTCGATGAAATCCAGATATTCAATATTATTGTTACTCAGATAAAGATGAGTGAGGTTTGGCACAGTCTCTGCGGTCAATCCGGCGAGCTGAATGATTGTATTATTACGAAGAAACAATTTTTTTAATTTTGGCAGATACAATCCTACTGGTACGCCGAGACTTGGTTTGGTTCCGATAGATAGATACGTTCTTCCAGGAGGTCCACTAAAATTACGCAGCGCACCGTTTAAGACAAGTGTCTCAAGATTGGACAAATTCAAATTTAACGAATCAATGGGATTCCCAGTTAAATCCAAATAAATTAAATTTGGTGTGTCAACAAACGCGCTGCTGTTCACGTTTGAAATCTTGTTGTACGACACGTCCAACAATGTTTTTGTCTTACTCGGGGAAAGAATTTTATCCAACAAAACTATGTTCTTATTTGAAAGGCCAAGCATAATTTCAAATTCTTCAGGTGGCGTTTTTGAATATACTTTTCCTGAAATATTCGACAAAATCAAAAGAAGAAATGCACTTTTTAAAATCATTTTTAGTTCATAAAATAAACTTTATGATTTTTAATAATAAAGACGTGTGTATGACGGCTGAAGAAAACTTAATGACTACCGAAAAAATTATTCAACATCTTTTATATGTTCCACCAACAAAAGCCTGGATTTTTCCCACGGAAATAAGATTATTATTTGATAGTCTTTAAGTGTATCTTTGAGAAACTCCAAATCTCCGGCCTTGAAACAGAACACAAATAAATATAAAAAATAGTAGTGATTTAACTTGTTTACAAACAGAAAACATCTGGTGAATTAATGTGATATTATATATGACCTTGTGTGACCCTAAACTTCCTGGATTTCGAGATTTTTGTTGATCTAAGTTATCAAAAATGTATTTACATAATACTAATTGGATAAATAGCTGTTGTGATTAGCCTACTATTTTAATTTAAAATAATTATTTAGTGACTGAGAAGAAATAAGTCTTTAAAATTTTAATTGTACTTTTTTAAGATTTAATAGCTAAATTAAATTAATTAAATTTTGAAATCAAACATGATTTATTAAACATCTTATAATCTTAACAGTCTACAAATATTAATAATTAATAACGCATAATAAAAAAATAACGGTTTAGAGATAAGAGCAAATTCATGGTGATGATAAAAAGAACAGATGTCGATCTTTCATCCGATTTAATATGAAGAGTCTCATAAAATATTTTTAATATTTTATTTGAGTTTTTACAAGAAGATGTTTGATATTTTTTTAAATTATCAATTTTTTTTTTAAATTAGAAGAAATAAAGAATCACTTATATCCACTCTTTTAATTATAAAAGAAGAGTAAATTTTTATTTATTTAGAAGAAAAAAGAAGATATAAATAAAATATGATATTAGAAGTTGAATTTTTTTTATTTAATAAAGAATAAATTTAAAGCTTAAAGCTAATAATAAAATAATTCACAAATATCTAATTATAAAATTTATTAAAAATATTATTGATATAAAATTAATTTTTTTAAACGAAACAGTTGGTTATAATTTTAATTTAAAATATATAAACAGTAATTTTGGTTTATTGATCAACACAAATAATCCGAATTATTATAAACTCAAATATGATAAATCTTGTAAACTCGTGTGTAATAATCTTGGAGTTTATTTAGAAGGCAATAACCGTATCTCTGGGTAATCCCATCGAACCGTTTACTTTAATATCATTGCCCCTGATATTTACATACTTAAGACTTCCGAAAGCGTTTAAAGATAAATGTGAGAAATGCTTGAATCGGTTATCGTTCAAAAATAGAGCCTTGAGATTCATCTCAGCGATCCAATTTTCGGGTAAATAGGCTATTTTGTTCCCCGAAAGATCCAAACTTTCCAAGCCGCCCAAATTCCTAATTTCGTCTCTTGAAACCTTGGAGATCTCATTATAACTCAAGTTCAACAGCTTGAGACTCGAAAGACCGCAGAAATCAAACGGCGCGATTTCAGTGAGCTTGTTCCGCGAAATCGAGAGGATTTCCAAGCTTAACAGCTCACAAATCCTTGGAACGCGGGTTAAATAATTTTCATCGAGTTCCAAGATGGTTAATTTCCCCAAATTGTTGAAGGAGTCGTCACTGAGAGCATAAATTTTGTTCTTAGAGAGATCCAGGTACACAAGATTCTTCAACCGTTCAAGAGGAAGCGGATCGCTTGTAGGAATCGCCAATTTTACGAAACTATATTCCAAATCTGTAAGCGAATTATTTCTGAGATACAAATGAGTGATGGACTCCGGCAAAGAATCCACGAAATTCATCGAAGAAATGTTGTTGTTATCCAGGTACAGATGCGTGATGCCCGATCGGTAAAGTTGCGAGCCGATTTTTCCGACAATTGGCCATCCATCGTTGTACGGGTAATCAATTGCGTTGTTGCGCAGATACAAGTGCCGTAAATTCGGCAATTTCTTGAAGTTGAACATGATCGGCGTGTTGTAGCAATGTCCTGTCGATAATTCTCCAAATTCTCCGCGGTTAATGATGCAATGATACTGATTAATTGCATTAGTATCGTCCAAAACAAGTGTTTCGATGCGCGGAAAATTGCTGCCGTGTAATTGCCAGGTATTGAAGCTGTTTCTTGTGAGGTTCAAGTAAACCAAGTTTGGCAATCCATCAAAAGCGCCCGCGTTTATCACACACAAATCGTTCTCTGTTAAATACAGATGCGTGATCGAAGAACTGTTTACGAAAGATTTTTCCAGGTTCAAAACGCCTTGATTCGAAAGCGACAACACATTTTCTTCTCTAAGGTACTTTAGTTGGTTGTTTCCGTCGTTTGCGTAAATTATACTTTTGCTTTGCGCGGAATTTAACCAAATTATAGTTATAAGAAAGAAAAATGCGCTTTTGGTTTGTAGAAACATTTTTTGACTAGGTTTGAAAGATACGAAGCAATAAACTGAATATTTAAAATAGTTCTAGGGGTATTTATACTAAAATTTCTGGTTATAAAATATAGGAATTATCGAAATTATGTCAGGGACGGAGATCTGGTATTTCTTTCTTCATATCTGGGTGATAGGGCAGATTAATCTTTAATTAGTATATTTGTGATAAATTGTGATGGGGAAGTTTTATGAGTAATCTCACAGAAAATCCGGCTAAGTTCGTCATTTATTAGGATAAAGAAAAATTGTTATTTATTTTTTACAATAAATAATTAAATATAGAAAAATAGTTAATGAAATATTTAAGAGATAAAAAAAATTTTTATTTTATAAATCATATTTATTAAAATACATTCAATTTTTTTGTAATTTTTTGGATAACTTATATGCTAAAAATATAAAAATAATGAAAAATTTTTAGATTTCAAAATTTGGAATTTTTTTAAATTTAATCTTATAAGAAATCTTTTAAATAATTCATAATAGTGATCGAAACGATGGAACAATTGTTAATTAATTGTTTAACTGTCTGTTTAAATGATCATTTAAAAGGATACATAGTAATATTACCTGATAAAAATATACAACTGAACAAATTTTAATTTTCAATATTAATAATTGTCTTGGTCCAATAAAAGTGCATGTTACAGCTGAAAGCAATCATATATTATATCTAAAGGTGATTTGAATTTTTAATTGTATTTCTGTTCTAATAAAATAAATTTAAAATTATAAATTTTTTATTCTATAGTAGCGCTATAATAACCTAAAAATATGTACAATTAATTTTTAATATTTTAAAATATGCATTATTTGCGTCAACTATCATTTATTTACCACAAATAAATCATATCTTGACAACAAATAAATCACTTATTTGACGCAATTAAATAGCTTAAATATATCGTATATTTCTCACAAATAAATATTTATTTGGCCATATTCAAGTATACGATATCTTTGGCTCAAATAAATCTTATTCAGTTCAAATAATTCTTTTTTTCTGTGTAGATTTAAAAAATTGTGAAAAAAAAATATAAATACAAAATTTTACAAATTTTTAAAGAATGTTTCGTAAATTATAATAAAAAATAAAATTAAAAAAAAAAAAATCACCGCGCTAACTCAATTTTTGGATTTTTATATTAAAAACTCGATGAATCCTCTCTGAACAATTACCAATTTTAAAAACTATCAATAGCAAAGTTTAAAACAAAATATTACTTCCTTAAAGCATCTAAAAATAAAGCTAACAAACTATTGAAAACCGAATATAAAAACCAAGTAAATAATTTAAGAAAAAAAAATTTTATGATACTTCTTTAATTGATTTTTGAAAAATATTAGTATGGAAAAAGACAAGTGTAAATTTTTTAGATTTCAAAACTGAAGAAAAATATAAATACAAAATTTTGCAAACTTTTAAAAAATCATTCATAAATTGATTATAATAAAAAATAAAATAAAAAAAAAAATAATTGATGACTCAATTTTTGAATTTTTATATTAAAAACTCGAATAATTTAAAAAAAATAAGATTTTAAAAAAGATCAATTGCAAAGCTTAAAACAAAATATTACTTCTTCCTTAAAATATCTAAAAACAAAATTAAAATCATTAAAAGGCCAATATAAAGACAAAGTAAATAAAATTACAAGAACATGTTAACTAAATAAGCTTAAATTAAAATAGTAACAGTTTAACCCTCAAAACTCCTAAACTATGCAGCTCCACCAGCATTAAACAGATCCGTTGATGTCTAGTTTCCATCATCCCACAATTCACCACCAATTTGTCTAACTCGCCCTTTCCCCTATTTCACCCTTTGCACAAAACTAATCTCAACCAAGTGTAGCGCGTTAGCTTAGTTACTCCACCCAAACCAGCTCTACCAAGTCCACTCATCACTATAACTTATCCTCGGAATAACATACTCTCTGTACTTCACCCCACACCGGACATTGCAAGGTTCTCTCCTCACGGAGGACTCGTACTCCAAGTAAACACTAACTTCATTCTTAATCTTCCAGTAACCGGGCGTGTAGCGGTCCAGAGGATTTCCCTGAAGATAGAGATACTTCAAGCTGACAGTGCAGTCCAGGGCTAGATCTTCAATCCTGGTGAACCTGTTGCCCCTAACATCCAGGTGCTTCAACCTACTGCTGCCTCTGATCCACCCGTAGGGTAAGTAAGTCAATTCATTATACGAAAGGTCTATTTCTTCCAAAGAATTAAGATTAACAAACGCCTCAACAAAGACGTTTTTTATGCGATTGTTGCCCAGCGAGAGCCACTTTAGTTCCCCCAAGTCGCAGAAAGCTCCCGTAGGGATATATTCAATCAAATTGTGATCCAGCGACAAGCTAGTTAGCACCCTGACGTTCCTAAACTCTGGAAGACTCGTCAGCTGGTTGTAACTTAATGATAAATCTCTGAGCTCTGATAATCCATCAAAAGTTCCAAAAGGAATTGAAGAAATTCTGTTGTGAGCCAAATTCAAGCTTTTGAGAGCTCTGCAGTCGTCGAAGCTGTCCCTTTGGACACTTGTTATCATATTTTGAGATAACGACAAGAATCTCAACCTGGATGTGTGCCTCAGACTTAAATTAGAATCTTCTAAGCAAGGCAAGTGAGAAAGAAACTGAATGCGATTCCCATCAAGAAACAGCGAGGAGAGATTTATCAACCCTCGGGTGTCTAAACGGCTGATTTGGTTCCGCTCGAGGTGGAGGTGGGTCAAGGTCAGTGGCAAGTCCAAGTACTCAAACGTCCTGCCTTTTAATTTATTGTCCGACAAGTAAAGGTGAGTCAGAGAAGGAAAGGTTCTCTGCAGAGGAATTGTTATATCTGCGATGCTGTTCTTCCGGAGATAAAGGTGCTCTAATTTGGGAAAGCAGTCGGATTCGGAGAGCACTTGCTCTCTTAGACCTGAGTCGTTTTCGTCGATAATTAAAGTTACTAGTTTGTTGTGACCGCCGAAGCTTAGAAAGTCGCAGAGCTGGATCCTGTTCCGGGATAAGTCGAGGTACTCCAGATTAGGCAGCTTGTCGAAGGACCCCACGGATATTTTGGAGATCGAGCTGTCAGACAGGCACAGGCAAGACACTCTGCAGCTGTCTATGAATCCAGGGTAGAGAGTCACTGGAACGCAGCCTGGTAAGTAGAGGGAGAGATCGCGGTCTCTTATGTCTTCGCATTTTCCTGTAGGCAGGAGAATTTTTCCGGGTTCTGGGATCGGGATTGAGTAGTCGACGTAGGTCAGGGGAAATGATACTTTGTTGCTGAAGCCGCTGGATGAGACGGTCAGGTGGAAGATGAGAAAAATTGCCAGGGTTGATGGATTTGAAGCCATTTTTTATGCCTGGAATGGAGATAAAAATTAATGGGTGTTGTTTTATAGTTTTTTATACTTACTCGGAACGCGCCCGAGTGAACTATAAATAAATAAAATTTTGATTTATTAAATAATGACTTTTGTTAAATTGCACTGTACTTTCTTAATTATTGATATTTTTTAATATATAAGCTCATCTTGATGTTACACTCATCAAGAGCTTTCATTTGAGTACCCACATGCATTTTTATATATTTTTCATATATACATATATATAAATATATGAAAAATTGATGTGGGTACTCAAATGAAAGGTCTCGATGAGTGAAATGTTGGGGTGAGCTTATATCTTTAAAAATGTCAATAGTTCACAAGTTTGCAAAGTCATTTCTTAATTATTGACATTTTTTAAAATATAAGCTCATCCCGATGTTACACTCATCAAGAGCTTTCATTTGAGTACCCACATGCGTTTTTATATATTTTTCATATATACATATATATGATATATACACATATATATAAATATATAAAAAATTGATGTGGGTACTCAAATGAAAGATCT